CACCCTTGGGGTCCTTGTCACTTTTTATTGTCAGGTTTTCATTTGGTGTTAAGGAGATTTCAGAAAAAGGGAGATGATTGTTGGTAGTGTTGAGAATGCTAATTTAGGGGTGGGGTGCTGCTCAGTGCTGTGGGGGCTTGTCTGGCCGGTGTAATGCCCTGGGTTTGGTTCCCAGTATTGGGGGGAAAACACATTAATCTACTGGAATCTATAGTAATCATAAATACTCATGCTAATACTAGAGCTTTAAGGACGTGCACAAAGGGCGTAGGATAAAAGGCTGATACAGGGCTGGTGAGATGGCTCAGTGGTCTAAAGCACCTACTTAGAACAAGCTTAGCAAAGCACAGGGACCGCGGTTCAATCCCCCAGCACCACATGCCCCGCCCCCTGGTGGGCTGAGCTGGCCACACACACAAATAAATAAATAAATAAAATAAATTTAAAAAAAAAAGGCTGATACAACAGCCCTTCCTTGGTGGTCAGGTGAAAGTGCAGTAATAAATGTGGCTGTTGCAGCCACCTTGATGGGGTTGGAGCACAGGAACTATCTAAGGAAAGCTCTGTTTTTAGTAATCACGGTGCTTACACCAGGATAGGCTGCACCGTGGACTGAAGCCCATCTAAATCCATGCAAAAGATATGAAATCACGCTAGACACAATGGCACATGCATGTCATTCCAGCCACCCAGGACACTGAGGCAGGGGAGTCTCAAGTTCGAGGCCAGCCTGGGAAACTTCATGAGACCCTGTCACAGAAGAGAATTTAAAATGGGACAAGTGTGCTGTGGATGTAACATGAAAGTGGAGCGCTTGCCAACACGAAGGACACGGAAGTTGGTCCCCAGGGCCACTGGCAAAAAGGAAGAGTAGAATCATGTAGAATGTACCCTCTAACCTCAAAGAAATTAAGTTGTTAATGAATACCGATGCCTGGAAAGATCCCCCAAAATTTTGATTTTAGGCAACCTACAGAGTAATTCATACTTCTTGGGTTAAATCAAAAGAGAATTAAAATTTTTTCACAATAAATGATAATGGTTGTATGACAGAATTTTGTGAACTGCTGCTAACACACTACTTCCAGAGAAATAGATGGTTAGCAATCTTCTGTTAAAAGAATAGTGATTGGGCTGGGGAGATGGCTCAGTGGAATAAGCACTTCCCTGGCAAGGGCAAGGGCCTAAGTTCAATCCCTGGTTCTGAAAAAAAAAAAAAAAGAAAGAAAGAAAGAAAGAAAGAAAGAAAGAAAGAAAGAAAGAAAGAAAGAAAAACAAAAAAGAATAGTGGTGCTGGACATGGCAGTGCATGCCTGTAATCCCAGTACTCAGGAGGCTGAGCCAGGAGGATGGCTGAAGTTGGAAGCCAATCTGGGCTACACAGCGAGTTCAAGGCCAGCCTGAAGTACTTAGCAAGACCCTGTCTCAAGTCACACACCCAGAAAAGGAATGGTAGTTCAGGGGAAACAAGAATTATTCTTGGTGGATATAGTTTCTTTTGGGGGGATTATTAAAAATATTTGGAAGCTCCAGGGGTGGTTGTGTATCTCTATGCATATGCTAAAACTCATTGAGCTCTCACAGTAAAGGGGTGAGTTATACATGCATTTTAGTAAAGTTCTTAAAGGAAAAAAAAGCATAAAAATTAATGATCTGAAGATCCACAGTAGGCACCCATAGATGAGGTGTACATTAACTAAAAATAAGTGAATGGGAGAAAGTAAAAAAAGTGAAAGGAGATGAGGGGCATGTGGTGGCCCCTCTCTGGAATCCCAGGGCCCTGAGAGGCTGAGGCATGAGGTCGCAGCGTCAAGCCCAGCCTGGGCAGCCCTAGTGACTGAAATCTTGTCTCAAAAAAAAAAAAAAAAGAAAAAAAGAAAAAGAAACTGGGTTGGGGATGTAGCTCAGGGGGAAGATTCTGTATTCAGTCCCCAGTGCCGCCACCCAGACACAACCACCACTAAATGGAACACAAATAATAAGAGGAAGTGGCAACGCAAAACTTGAGTTCCTTATGTCATAACAGCATTAAAATAGAATAAAGAAAATTTGAACGAAAAAAAGGAAAGCAAACCAGGCACAGCGGCACACACCTGTGGTCCTAGCTATGTGGGAGCAGGAAGCAGGAGGAGTACTGGAGCCCCACAGCCATCCAAGACCAGCCAAGGTGACATAGATGAGGTCCTCTCCAAAGAAAAGGGCAAAGAGAGGAAAAGAAGGCCAAGGGCACAAAATACTCAGTGCACTAGTCAGGAATTAATGATGGACTATGGTCATTAAAAGGATAATGGGGGCCAGAGAGGTGGCTCAGTGGCATAAGCGCCTGCCTGGCATGGGTAAGGTCCTGAGTTCAATCCCTGGTACCATCCCCCCCAAAAAAGGATAATGAGATCTTACTACTTTATGTCAATGAATGTAACAACTGGGTGACATGAAAAAAATTCCTTAAAAATTCTTAGCAAAAAACCTACGCAATATGAAGATAATCTGAATTCCTTTCTTTTTTAAAAAAATTCTCACTCTTTTGATTCAGGGGCTTACTACACAGTTCGGACTCATAGTGATACGCCTGACGCCGTCTCCCCGTGTAAGGATTACAGACACCAGGCCAATTTCAGGGCCAGCTCAGCATGTGGTACCAGGGATCGAAGTTGGATCCTTGTGTTTGCCAGGCAGGTGCTTAGACCACTGAGTTATCTCCCAGCCCAATCTGAATTATCTTTAATGAAAACTACTAGTTCATATAATATCAGTGATGAATTGTATAAATATTTATGGAAGAAGTAACAACAACTGTTGATAAAAAAAACTGTTGATAAATTGTTTCTGAAAATATAGGAGAAAACACTTCTTCTTTGTTTTATAAGGCCAACAGAAGCCTTCTACCAAAAATTTGACAAATAAGTTACAAAACAATACTAAGATCCCTTATCAGTATAGATAAAGGCTTAAAGTAGCTACATAAATCTAGCAATATTTAAAGATTAATATACTATGAACAAGACTAGTTTATTTTAGTAATATATTTTGGATAGCATTTGAAACATAGTATTATTTATGTTAAAATTTGTAGAAAAAACTTACATGAATATGTTAAGTGATACACAGATAGTTCTTGACAAAATAGAGCACTTACGGGCCGGTGAGATAGCAGACTGAAGCGCCTGCTTAGACAAGCTTAGGAGAGCGCAAGGACCGCAGTTTGCTTGGCACCACGTGCCACCCCAGCCCCACCCCCAGGGCTCACACAGTGGCCATGGAGTCGTGGCATAGTGGTACACGACTGTAATCCCAGCACTGGGGAGGCTGAAAACAGGAGAATCACTATGGGTTCAAGCTGTGTAGTGAGACCCTGCAACAACCAAATACATTTTTTAAAAAAATAGCACTTATAATAAAAATTTTCATTATATTCAGAAAAGAGAGGAACTTTTTCAATCTGAAAAATGCATCCTGAAAAACCATAGATTTGGTGCTAAAATATAAAATATTTGGAAGACGGTGTAAAAGAAAAGCTTCACAAGGTTGAATTTGGCAATGATTCCCTACATCGGGCTCCAAAACCACATGCAGCAAAAGTGAAAATACTTCTCTATAAACTGGACTACATCAAAATGAAAAATGTCCTTTACATCAAAGAAAAAAAGACAATCAAAGAAGCAAAGAGGAAACTTACTAAAATTAGGAATAAACCACTAGGAAGGCAGTATGCAATGTGTTAATTATTGGAACGGTCCTACCAATTTGAGTTGAAACTGTCTCATTGCTATTTATTTCTCAATAAAAGTATGGAAAAAATAAAATTATGAATAAAAAGACTGATAAAGTTTTTTTCAGAAGGGCCACCCCCCCCCAACAACCCAATTCAGAAATGAGCAAAGGAACTTGAATGAGACATTTTTCCAAAGATGACGCCCAACAAGCGCAGAACCAGGTGATCCACCGCAGTAGCTGTTAGGAAAGTGCAAATCCAGACCACGAGGCGGCACCACCTCTCGCACAACAGGGCGGTCTATCGAAATTTTGACTATCACAAGTTGCGGTGGGGCTCTGGAGAAATGGAACTCCCCTGCCCTATTGGTGAATAAATAAAGTAGTTCAGACCCTGTGGAAAATACTGTGGTAGTTCCTCAGATCATTCAAAGTAGGATTACCATATAATCCAGAAATACCTTGTATTTTCTCAAAGAAATTGAAAACTAGAGTTTCATGGAGATTTTACCGTGACCACTGTAGCGTTTTTCACAGCAGCCAGCATGCAGAAGCAGCTCAAGTGCCCATCGGCAGATGGAATAAATAAGCGTGGTACACACATTTATACAGCTGTAAAAAAGAAAGAAATCTTAACACAGAGTGCACCAAGGATGGACCGTGAGGGTGCTGTGCTAAGTGACATGCCAGCCACAGAGAGAGATACTGAATGAGTCCTCTTGAAGGAGGTGCCCAGACTTGCCAAGTTCCTAGGGAGAGAAAGGGAAATGGTGCTTGTTAGGGGTTGCCGGGGGTGGGGGAGGGATAGAAGACTGGGCAACGGGTTGATGGATAGAGACGTTCAGCTTTGCACGACAGGAGTGCTGGATATTGGTTTCATGGTAATGTGAGTGTGCTTCACACCACTGAACTGTACACTTAGGTGATTAAGATGGTAAATTTCTTGTGTATAGTGTGTGTGTGTGTGTGTGTGTGTGTGTGTGTGTGTGTATTTGGTATAGGGTCTCATTATTCAGCTCAGACTCGTAGTGATCCTCCTGCTTTCAGTCTCCCCTGTGCTGGGATTACACGTGTGTGCCACCAGACCCAGACTCCGCTGGCAGTCCTAGTCAGTTCCTAGGAGTAGATTCCAGGTGTAATTTCCAATTGATGGGATGTGATTTTCCTTTCATTTTTCTTTTTTTGGTCTTTTTTTTCCTCTTAATATAGGGTCTCACTACTCAGCTCAGACTCATAGTGATCCTCCTGTCTCAGCCTCCCCTATGCTGGGATTCCAGGCCTGAGCGGCGATGCCCGGTTTTGGGGTGGCACAGCACGTGCCTCTCAGCATGCAGTACTGGGTATCGGGGTCCTTGCGCTTACTGGACACGCCTAGACTGCAGAGCTATCTCCACTACCCTGTCTTTCATTTTTATAAAAACTTTCTTGTATTTTTCTACTGACTTCAAATCTTTATAAAAAGGGAAAAGAATAGAAGGGAATGTTAATTGTATGTTTCTTTGCCGTCCCTAAGAGACCAACAGATAAATATAAATACTGTGAAGGGTTGAGGGCTTTAGAATGGGGAAAAGGATCCAAATTCTCTTTAGTTTTGGGGAGGGGTGGTGTGAGATTGTTCTTGTGACAGGTGAGATCTGGAAGCCACTCATGCCGGTCTCTGCCTTGTTCCAACAGGTTGTCGCTCCACAAATCGTAACCAGTGAAGCTCATGAGCCAGCTGACCTTCTTCCAGAACGGCAGCTGAGTGTCCCAGATGTGTTGTGTCCAGCAGGTATGTATTTAGATTTCATCTCTAGTCCTTCAGACCAGCCCTGTCTCCATGCTCTTCCAGTCTTCTGTTCCCTGTAGTTTCTAGTTCTTTACTCAACAGCTGCTTAGTGAGTCTTTGTTGAATACAGGACCATGAAAACGTATCCCTGCTTTCTGCTAAGAGGGTAGCAGTCTTCACATTTCCCTGTAGATATTTGATCCAGTTTGAGTTGATTTTTCTGTGGAGGGTCAGATGAGGTCCCAGCTGTCTTCTTTTGCACATAGGTACCCAGTGGCAGCTGTCCCCACACCAAGTGTTGAAAACACTGCCCTTACCCGATGGTCTTGGCACCATTGGTGCAAATCAGTTGTTCAGCAGAAATGTGCAGATTTATTTTTGGTTTATCATTTGTATCCCAGTGGTCTGTGTCTTTTGCCTTGAGTACTGCTGGAATGTGTTTTAAGATCATGAAGTGTGAGTCTTCCTACTTTGCTTTCCTTTTCCAGGATAATTTTTATTATATGGGGTCTTTCGCAATTCCATTTGAATTTTAGAATCTTCTAAATTTCTGCCGAAAGCCAAACTGACTTTCTAACTGGGATTATGTTGAGGCCGTAGCCCAGATAGAGTCCTGTCATCTTAACATTGTTTAGTCTTTATAGTCATGCACATGGGATATTTTCCGTTAATTTAGATGTTCTATAGTTTTCAGATTTGTATTTCTTTTGTTAAATGTATTTCTATATAATATTTTTGTATCATTATAAATAGAATTTTTTCTTAGTTTTATTTTTGGATTGCTCATTGTAAGTATATAAAACTAGCTGGGTGCTGAGCGACACATGCAAATGTCATGAAGGTAAACCAAAGGCCCGGGCCTGACCAAGGAGAACAGCGAGTAGTACCTCTCCGGGTCCATGTATTTTCTCTGGATATTGGCTGGTTGCTTGTGTGCTTCTGAGTCCATTGTAGCACACGATTGTTCATCTGTTCATTCCACAGCATACTGAGTGTATCTGTGAATCTGGAACCATTGCATCGTGTTGGTGTGGGAGGCCAGGGTGGCACAGGTGTAGGGGTTTCTACATGCCCCTCCAGCCACTTCAAAGCCTGGCATAACACCCGTGTTGTGTTCACACAGGGAATCCCTTACCTAGGGGGCAGAGACTGTTGATGTTCAGTTTAGTAAGACTGCTCCCTTAACCTGTTTATTACTCGAGTCTTTCGGGTGATACAGATCAAGTAGAAGGTTAACGGTGCCTCTGGCTGTTTTGCCTGCAGCAAGGCCATGGTCTCTGTACCTCAAAGTTGAGGTAAATGTAGAATAAACTAGAGTTTCAGAAGAATGGCTTCCTCTCTGGTAGAGTGTTAGATGGAGCAGCTCTGTTTCAGAGAATGTGCTCCTTCTGCCCTGTTACATTGAGGGGTTAAACCCTAAGCAGTTCAGTGGGTTGGTGGATTGGCAAATGGTGGTCAACTTGTTATAACAAGCTGAACCAAACTCTTGTGGTGCTAGGTGTGGGAGGCCCACCTGAGGATTGTTGCCGGCAGCATAGGAGACAGAACTGGACAGCAAGAAGGGGAGAGGCTGTTGGGGAGCTTTTGGGAGGAGCTGTTGGAGCTGTTGGAAGCTGCTGGTTCTCCTGGGCTCTTCTGCTGGGGGATCTTGTCATGCGGGCTCTCCTGGTGAACTTGGATGTTCTCACTGGGGAGGAGTTCAGGACCTCACTGTCACCAAGGATGGCTGTGGTAACTTTTGGGGAAGCTCTGGTTCTTGCTTTGAGCATCGCTTCCTGGCTCCGGTGCAGATCCCTGAGCCTTCTGACACAGATGCTTCGTCCCGCAGACACAGAGTTTCTAGCCTCCCCCACTGACCTTTAGGCCTTCCCAGCACAGATCTGTGAAATAGGCCTACATGAGACACTGTCGTGCGCTCTAGGCCTCAGTTGGACTCTAGGGAGGTATTGTTGTTACAAGCTCTTGGTCTTCAGCTGAACTCAAGCAGGAAATGATTGTGGGATCCAGGCCCTCAGCTGGATTCTTTGGATTTTAGTGTGTCCACAGCTTTCCTGCACTGCTTTTATATGATTCTTTGGGTGATTCATTATAAAATAATCTTATAAAATGTGAAAAATGTATATAAAACTGCATAATTTACTTTAAAATTTTAAGTTTTTTGTTTTTTAAACAATACAAAATGGTAAAAAAAAAATTACAGACGATACAAAATTTCATTAAATAAACTAATAGGAATTCAACAATGGTTGTTGTATTGCATGATGTTATCTTCAACTTAGTTGTTTAGGTTACCAGATATAAACCTGAGAGATTATTTCTGATCTGATTTCCTCCATAGCCTGATAGAGCTGTTTCATTACTTCAGTTGCTATCATTTCCAGAATTCCAGGTGTGTGGCTTCCAAGTTCTTCTATGATTTTTGTCTCCTGGACTTGTTTTGGGTGGGCTGGAGGTCTGAGAACGCCTCTTGCTCCTTCCTTTTGACAGTTTTGAAGCTCCCACTGTTCACCCTGACTCTGCAGTGATGGTCAGGACGGGTTGTGGGTAACAAGGCTCGGAGGGCGGGGTAGGTTCACCAGAGCTCCCCCTGTGTGGGGTTCAGTGTGGCTTCCACCTTGGTAGGGGTGGGGCAAGCTGCAGCCCAAGAGATCCAGTGATAAGCATAAGGAGTGTGGGGGAAGTGCAGGGTGGGGCTCACGGAGGCTTTATAAGCCTCAAGTTAATTTATTAGTATTTTCTTGGAGATTTTTACATCCACATCCTATGGATAATTGGTGTGTAGTTTCCTTTTATTATGATGTTGTTTTCTGGTTTTTGGTATTGAGGAAGGAGCTAATACTGTCCTCTACAATGAGTTGGGAAGGATTCTCTTCCCTACTTTTTTTGGTTTATTCAGATAGTCTCTGTCACCTTTCTCTCCTTCCCATCATATGGTATATTAAAATGATTCATAGACATTTTGGTAACTTTGCAATCACAAAGATTTATGATGAGTGTTGGAATTTAAATCTACTGAAGGTCTTCAGATTTCCAGTACAGTGTGGCATGAAGTATAACCTTCATGGTATTCATCTCAGTGTATTCTTAGTAATATACCCCCTGCTTCAAGAACCAACACATGGGCTGGTGAGATAGCTCAGTGGACTAAAGCACTTGCTTAGGCAAGTGCAGGGACCTGGGTTCCATCTGTGGTCCTGCATGCTGTGCCAGCCCCACCCCCGGGGTGCACTGAGCCAGTGACTGAGTCGGGCATGGTGGTGCACACTTGTAATCCCAGCGCTGGGGAGGCTGAAAACAGGAGGATCACTCCGAGTTTGAGCTGTGTAGTGAGACTCTGTACCAAATACATAAGAAAAGAAACAAAACACATATGCCTCAAGGAAAATAAGTGGCTCATGGTTCAAGAGACTATTTGGTGAGATTTTTGGTCCCCAAATGAAACCTTCAGTTTAACCAAGCATCTGTTTGCATTTAACCACTCAGCCTCCCCTGCTGGCTCAGCCACACACCCATGCGTCAGCAGACAGGCATCCTCCTTGCCACCTCAGACCCTGCCAGCTTCGGTGTCCAGGAGTGGCCGGCAGGTCCTTTGGGAGTTACTGGAACCCTCTTTGGATTCCAGTTCCCGCACTAACGTGTTCATGAAGCCTGGCCCTTTAGGAAATGCTCCCATGCCGTTTGCTTTGTTTCTGCCTGTAGCAGATCTGCCCTTCTGCATTTGGCAGGGGGATTTATTCTAGAGAAACCCAGACTGTCCTTCCAGCGACCATGTACCACTGTGAAGTACTTCCATTGAACCAGTGTCTTGGAGAACTTCCCAGGGTGCAGGCCTAAAACACGCCCCGTAAGTCTCGTGTTTGGAAGGTGATTGGATCATGGTGGTGCTATACTCGAGTCTGTAGCTGAATGTGCAGTCAGGAGATGGGGCCTGGTCGGAAGTGAGTCATAAGGGCATGACCCGGAAGTTGTGTTCCTGTCCAGCACTTCCGCTGTCCCTCTGCTTCCTGGCTGTTATGGATGAAGCGCGTTTTCTCTGCCAGGCCCTTCTGTCATGGCATTTCTGCCTCGGAGGCAGGCAGCTGTGGGCCTCTCCTCCTTTAACTTGGGGGTGTTAGGTGTTTTGTCCCAGCAGCAGGAAAGCAGACCAACACAGCTGCAGGCCTCACTGCGAAATCAGTGCATATTTAGAATATCCAGTGTCTCGAAATTTGGCCACCAGTATAGAAGGAATTCTTATCAAAGAGCATGTAAAATGCAGGGAACTTGAATGGATGTTGGGAGGGATTTGCTCCCTTTGCTTCCAATCTGTAAAGTCAGGGCAGGGAATCTGTTAGCCTGGGTGGAAACCGTCCTTGTGCCCTAGCAGTTTCCAGCAGTTTAGACTTGACTAGCTGAGCCCCAACGGCACTTGTAGGACCATCTGTGGCATCCATGTCCTGCCTACCAAAGAAAGGCTGCTTGGCTCCATCTCCGCGCCAGCAAGCATTTCTCAATTCTAAAGCATACGCCCGGGTTACTTATTTAACAGAGCAATATGGTCTGTCAGCGAACTTTAGCCAGTGAACTTATTCCCAGGGAACTTATCAATGAACTTTTGCCATAGATAGCAAAGTGAAACTAGTAATGTTCTCTCCTACTCCCATGCTGCAAGTGTGGTTGAATATAATTCGTGGCTGTGTCACTCCCTTTCTGCAGAGAACGTTGCCTTACACTCTACTTTGGATGATGAACACTGTGTATTGTGTTTGCTTTAACAAGTTTTATTTAATTGTTTTGTTCATCCTCTCCTTGATCATCAGCTCCCTGTGCCTGCTTTCAGTTAGGGTTTTGGGGGGGCAGCAGTGAATTTATGAATTCTTTGCACATGCCACATCATTGCCACCCAGATCCAGTCCACACAGATGCCCTCCCACCCAGCCCCGTCACCCGCCTGGCTCTGTGTACAGTGCATATTGTATAATAGGCGACTACATCCACTACGTGTTTTAGAAACATGACTTGCTATTTTTGAGGCTTTTAAATTAAACAAAAAAAAAAAAAATCCAACTTTAAAAAAAATTTAAAAAACAAAATTAGGTATGCGTCGTAAAAACGCTTTTGAGGTCAGGAAGTCTTGTACAGCCACAGCCTACCATGCCGTGCTTTAAGTGGGGTGTGGGGCAGGTTAAATAAGAGCACACAGAGATTCCTGTCCTGCAGCAGATCAGAATCCAGCTAGTTGCCTTTCGGCTGGATTTCTGCTTAGAGAGTTCACACTAACCTTTTAACCTTTGGAACCAGACATTCTGAGTCACATGAAGTCCACAGAAAGTTCAGTAAATCTGTGGTGGTCAGGCCCTCATGAAGGCCCCATGTCTGAACATAATACAGTTTAGACATGACATTGGCTGTAGGGTGTTTTCTGCTTTTTGTTTTGCAGTCCTGGGGATTGAACCAGGGGGTTACACTGAGCTATATATATCCCGAGTCTTTCTTCATTTTTATTTATTTATTTTTATTTTGATGCACAGTCTTGCTAAGTTGTTCGGGCTGGGCTCGAATTTACAACCCTCCTGCCAGAGCCTTTCAGAGTGCTGCAATGACAGAAGTGCGCCACGGTGCCAGCAGGGTTGGGTTTTCTGTATTTGCAAAGTCATTGTGAAAGAATTTCAGAGTAATCAAGCAAGAATGCTGCTGTTTCAAGTTCGCACATGTGTAGGACAGTGAAAATTCCTGCAAGTCCAATATACAGAAGGGGCAGTGGGGCTGCTAGAAGGTGCCAGTGTGCCCTGAGCTCCTAAGGTGGTAGATGGTTCCTTCCTGGTGCTGTGTGTGGCTGCTTCTCTAATTTCGGAGCTTGCCAATTTGGAGTTTAGGGACCTGGTGTTTAGAAATCCTACTTGTCATTCCTACCTCTTTTTGTGTCTCACTTCAAAAGTTTAGCAGGGGCTGGGGAAATAGCTTGGTAGTCTAAGTGTCCGTCTGGCAAGCGCAAGGACCCGAGTTCGATCCCTGGTACTGCCTTGCCAGTCATTGGAATTAGGTGTGGTTGCTCACACCTGTAATCCCAGTGCTGGCGAGGCTGAGACAGAGAATCATTACAAGTCCCAGCTGTGTAGCAAGACCCTGTACCAAATAAATAAATAAAAGATTTTTTTAAAAAAGTTTATCCCTCTGTCTTATCCTCTCCCCCTTCTGCTCCTTTTCCTCCTGTTATGGACAGAGGGTCTCAATCCAGCCTGGCTTTGGACTCATATGTAGCTAGCCAGGTCTGGTCTCTAGCCTCAGATCCTCCTGCCTCAGCCCCCAAGTGCTGGAATTACAGGAGAGCTGCGGTGATGCCCAGCCTCCAACTCCATCTCTGCACACAAGTTCACTGTGTCTCCTGGTGTGTGGTTCTTCCCTTTGTGGTGGTTAGCCCGGCCCCAGGAGGCTGCACCTGTCAGCCCTGGAGCAGAAGATTTTTTCTGGTCTGCAAGCCGTTGTTTGCCTAGGACTTGCTGTGTCCTGCGCCCTCCTCCCGGTGGACCCTGAATCTTCTCTCTTCTCACGGTCATCTCTGGTCATCTTTCCCCTTGCTTACGCACACTGTCTGCACCCAGTCAGGTACAGTCAACTTCCTGAAGTCGCCTTCATCCTGAGTCACACCTTGGTGAAGCCCCAGGTCCCACCCACGTGCCCCCCATCCTCATCCTCTTCAGGCTTCTGCTGAAGAAGTTGTGCAAGCCTGTTCCCCATCTCGGCCTTGGCCTCCTCATTCTGGGCTGGTGTGGTGGGCAGAGGAGGGGCGGTTGTTGCCCTGTGTCCCAAACCTTGCTTCAGCTGCTGCCTGGGCCCTTGTGAGGGGGCTGCCAGGCTGCCTGCTGCTGCCATGTCCTTCTGGACCGGCCGCCCTGCAGCCTGAGGGGACGGGCTGCCAGACTGTGTTTCACCTGGAGCGGATTTCAGTAGTTTGTGCATCTCCTGAAATCTCAGTTACCCTCTGTGTTGCTCTACAGAGGTCCATGGTACTCTTTCCTGGGAAGTCAGCGTGACTTTGCTCTTGTTTCAGATTCTAATAGTTTGAGCACCCCCTTCCCCGAGTCAAACAGCCGCTATGAATTTGTTGATCTGTTGAAGAACAACTTTCTGCTCTTTTAAATTTTCCCAGTTTTTCTATTCTTTCCTTCTTTCCTGCTTCTCCTTTAGCTGCCCCCCCTTTTTCCTGCACCTTAAGTGAAATACTAGGTTACCAATATATATGTTGTGATGAAAAATATACCTGGATTTCAAAGATTTAATGTTTTAAAAACTAAGAAGAAGAAAGCTAGACACGGTCGTTCAGGCCTATAATCTCAGCCCACTGCAGGGCAGAGGCAGTTTAGCAATGTAGCCAGACCCTGTCTAAAAATATAAAATAGAATAAAATAAAATGGGCTAGAAATATAGCTCAGTGTGAAGATCCTGGGTCCAACCCCTAGTGTCACAAAATTAATTAAAAATAAAAAATGAGTTAATTAAAGATTAATTTTTTTTAAATTTTTTAAAAAAGCTGGGGATATAGCCCAGCAGTAAGATTCTGGGTTTCACTGCCAGTACATATATGTTTTATATTGATTGCATACTGATGGGATATTTTGGATAGCTTAGGTCCAAAAGTACATTGTGGGGCCGGGGACATGGCTCAGTGAATAAGCGCTTCCCTGGTAAGTGGAAGGGACTGCGTTCAATCTCCAGTTCCACCAAAAAAAAAAAAAAAAAAGGACATTGTGAATCTGACCATAAATCCCGGTGTGGTGGCGCACACCTGTTACCCCGGCTGGCAGGAGCTGGGGCCCTTGACCAGCCTGGAATAAACAGCAAGACCTGTCTCAGAAAAGCCAAACGGGCTGGGGAGATAGCTCAGTAGAATAAGCGCTTGCGCAAGGGCCTGAGTTCACTCTCTGGTTCTGCCAAAGAAAGAAAAAAGAAAAGCCAAGCATTTAATTTAGCCTTCATTATAGTTTGTGTCTAGGTGTCCCTCCAAAGCCTCATGCAGCTGGGGGCAGCTTCTAGAGTTTGTAATTCATGATCCAATGCTGGGATTCTGGGTGTGAGCGCTGCACCCGGCCTGAGGCAGATGAACTGCATACAGATGTAAGGAGGGAGAGGGCTTCTTGTTGCCTCTGCTGCTGCTCCTCCCCTTGCTCTTTGCTGTTTTCCGCTGCCATGAACTGCTGCCCTCTGCCATGTGCCACTCTGCCTTGGTACCAGCCAAAAAACCAGCTGAGACAGCCTTATTCTTTTTACTCTAGATAGTATGCATCTGTGTTTTGATTGTCCTCATATTATCCTTCTCTAGGCAGGGGGTAGCAACAGGAGTGGCAGAAAGGAGACCGTTTCATTCCACGGATGGCCAAACTCCCCCACCCCCAGCCCTCCAGCCCCCCAGCCCTGGGAGTCTGTGAAGATTCGCTCACCAGCTTTTCTCTCCCTCAGGGTCCCACATGTCACCAAAAAGCAATAAATGTGAAGAATGTGAGGATGGAGTGGACTTTACGAGCTATCCTAACAGGCTCTTATCATGTTTCTCCTGTAAAACGTGTGACACAGGTACCCAGCCAGGGGCCCCTGGGGTGGCCTTCGGGGAGAAGAGATGGGAATGTAACTGATGTGGACTCAGGAACCTCCATTCCAGCCCAGCTTGTCTTCATCCTAATACCCTGTTCATGATTCTTTGAGTCAATAAAATATAATTTACAAAAAAATGAAACTTTAGCATAGAACACAGACCATGTTTGAGGGAAGCCATTGCACCCATCACTCAAGAAGGGTAGGAGACCACTCTACCCCTGTGGTTGGACCACAGCTCATTTGTGGCTGGTGGCTCCCTTTGAGCAGGTAGGTGTTGAGTCACTGGGGCTGACTGCGTAGGGGCAAGGACACTCACAGAGGCTGCCCAGGACCCAAGGTGACTGAGCAGAGGAGGCTGCAGGGTGGGGCAGGCCTCCAGAGACTGGGCACAGAACTGCCCCTTGAAGGGTGGACACAAGCACTGAGCAGCAGAGGCAAGAACATCTCAGCAAGGCTCCAGGATGGAGGAGCGAAGAGCGCTCCTCCTGCAGGAGTTCTCTGGCACTGCACCTGTCTCTTGCCCTCTGCTAAGGAGTGTGAGCTCACCAGCTGCTTTCCCATGAGCACCTCGCTGTGTTCTGGTTTACATTAGACTGAGATACCTGTGAGGGAAGAGGGAGGAGAAGAGGAGGGAGGAGTGCAGGTCAGAGAGGCAGTGCGAGAGGGAGGGGGCTATACTAGCCTGAGGAGGCCAGAACGAGCCACACGGAGCCTCCCCTCTGTCTCGGTAGCAGGGGACGTGTGTCCTGACCCCTCATAGCCAGATTTCTCTCCCCATGAGTCAGACCCACCCTGGCCTTAGACCGCTCCTTCCAGAACCTCCCACAAAAAGCCAGCTCACATTCATCTCTCCCTCCAAAGCTGGGAGGGCTGTAGCATATGATAAAGGAGTGGCTGGGCAGAAAAGGTGGGGCCCCGGTGCAACTGGACCTGTAACTGGGACCTGTTCTGGGCCGGGCTCCACTCCTCTGCCAGTGGGAAGCTCTCTCAGTCTTCATGTTCCTGGTCCCCTCCCTCCTGTCCCACAGAGCCAAGCTTTGCAGAGGTCAGTGATAGTGACAAGAAAGACAATGGGTAACCAGGACAACTAACTCATCCCCCCAAACCTTTTCTTTGTCTCCAGATCAAAATGAAAAATACCCCTGCAACAGAACTATGAACACAGTGTGCTCCTGTAAGGACGGCACTTTCCGGACAGAAGGGAAGCCTGAAGCCTGCCAAAAATGCCAGACTGAGTAAGACCCAGCAACTGAGGCTCCCAGTGGCCCAAGGGAACCCACAGAAGGCCTGGGTTTCCTTGTACCCCTTTCTCTTTCTTGAGCCCACGGATTTCTCACTACCAGTGGGGTACTCTGAGCCCTCGGGGTCCTTCCGGTTCACCTGCGTTCTCCCTTCCTGCCCACGCTTTCCTTTGCCCCGTGGACAGGTAGCTTGTTCACTGAGGACTCCAGGACATGGTTTGGCTCCCGTCGAAAACAGAAGAATGAGTAGAATATAGCCAGGTTTATGTTCATGGGTGTGCTGTGTCAGTAATAAAATGTAATTTTTTTAGTCCTTTCTCATGCTTAGGAAGACAAAAGTATCTGTACCCTCACAAAACTCACGAAAGGCATAAAAAGACCAGAGCCACCTCAGCTAGCCTCACCTCAGACTCCTGATCCCTCTATACTTAGAAGATCTCAAAGATTCCACCAAAAGACTTGCAGAGCTGATAAACACTTTAGCAAATTAGCTGGATATAAAATCAGCATGAAAATCAATGACTTTTTTATATGGCATGATGACTAGCTGAGAAAGAAATGAGAAAGCAGTTCCATTCACAATAGCTTCAAAACACAATAAAATGCCTACACAGGTCCTTGCAACCAAAGAGGCAATGCCTCTGTTATGAAAATTTCAGAACACTAAAGGAAATTGAAGCAGACCCTAGAAGAGAGAAAGCCTTCCAGGGCTCCTGGATCGGCAGAGTTAATACTGCTACAGTGCCAACCCAGAGTGGTCTGCAGATTCAGGGTGATCTCCATCAAATTACCAAGGAGAAGCAGCACAAAAGAAAAATCCTACAATTTGCATGGAAACACACAAGACCGGGAGTAGCTAAGAATCCTAAGCAGTAAGAGCAGGACTGGACATAGCACAGTTTCAAATTATACCACAAAGCCATAGTAACAAAAACAACATAGTAGTGGCACAAAAGTAGACATATGGACTACCAGTGTTACCCCAGTCAGAATGGTTAGCAGCAAGAAAATAATAATGATAATAATGATAATAATAATAATAATAATAACAAATGTTGCTAAAGATCAGAGATAAAAATTAGTATAGCCACTATGTAAACCAGTATGAAGGCACCTCAAAAAACTAAAACTAGAAGGGCCAGCCAAATAGCAGATTAAAGTGCGTGGGCGCAGGGGCCAGGGGTTTGATCCCCAGGCCTGCCATGCCAGCCCTGCCCCAGGGGCGTGCTGAGATGGCAATTGAGACTGGACGTGGTGGCGCACGTCTGTAATCCCGGCTCTTGGGAGGCTGTAAACAGGCAGATCACTAGGAGTCTGATCTAGTAGTGAGACCCTGAACATCCTTGTAGACCCTTCCCTAAAATACAAAACAAAACTAGAGTTGTCATTTGCTCCACTCCTGGGTATATATGCAAAGCAACTGAAGTCAGAGGAAGGCCTGTACACCCAGTGTGACACAGTTTACCAAAGGCAAGGTGTGAGCCGGGCGAGGTGCCCATTAGCTGATGAATAGGTATACACAATGGAGATTTATTAAGCCAAAAAACAGAACAAAGTATTGTCACTTGCAAAAAAGTAAAACAGGTAGATCTGGAGGTGATCATGTTGAGCAGACTAAGCTGCACTCAGACACACACAGCACATGCTCCCTAGCATGTGGAATCTGCAAGAGATGACCAACAGGCCCAAGGGAGACCATTGTTGGACAAGAGGAAGGGAACAAAAGGAAGGACAGAGGGAGTAAGGGTATGTGATAGGTGATGTGCATGTGATCCATATGTGCACATTGACCCCCAGAGAACAACATGCCAAACTAAAGAGGAAAGTTGGGGGAGACAAAGTGGGTTAGGTACATGGTTACCAGAGTGAAGCCCATTAATTTGTACTGCCCACGTGCACTAATAAGACGTGTGTGACAGGGAATCCTTGAAGGATGTAAACTAGGGAAAAAATACATTATGTTGCTATTTGGGGCTTTCAGAGCCAGACCAGAAGTTAATCGGTTCCTCTCTGACCCCTTGGGGTTTGCAGTGATTGAGGAAGCCCAGATGGAAAGAGGAGAGAAGTTGTTCTAAGGTTGGCAGTGGCCACGCAGACTCCGGGCCCACCCCCGTGGCCGGGGCCTGACCAGTGCATGCCTGTAGGGGAGGGGCACAGAGTGGGCCGTGGAGGGGCTCGGGCCTTGCCCAGAGCTGGGGCGAGTCTGGGAGACACCTGGAGGCATGAGGGCCTGTCCCTCCTCAGGCACCTTCCAGATATTGGGCGGGAAGGGTGGCACCCTCTTGTGCCCCATCTGGCCTGCCTTCCCTCACAGAGGCCCATCGCTTCCTCCCTGTGTGTACCCAGATGCCCGGCTGGGAAGGTGATGGTGAGTCGGTGTACCCCCTGGAGTGACCTCAAGTGTGTGGACCAAGAGTCAGGTACCAAGGCTACTGAGCAGGCCCCAGCTCCTGGAAGGCCAGTGACCAGCAGTCCAAGGACTCTTGCCTCTCCTTGTCCTTCCATAGACTCGCCACACTCCACTGCGAGCTACATCTGTGCTGGCATCTTCGGAGTTCTGGCTGTGTGTGTGATTCTGGCTATTTGGAAGTATGGACGGCAGGCAAGTAAGTGGTGGCCCCATACAGAAATGCCCCTGTGTCCTCCCACCCTGCCTTCTGTTTTTTTCCTGTTCGTTCTCTCTCTCTCTCTCTCTCTCTCTCTCTCTCTCTCTCTCTCTCTCTCTCTCATTCTCGCTCGTTGTCTTTGGAAACAAATTCTCATTATGTAGTTCAGGTGTCCTTGAACTCAGCATTGTAACCCAGGCCTAGAACTCAAGGAGATCCTCCTGCCTCAGCTTCTTTGAGTTCTCAGATTACAGGTGTGCACCACTCTGCTGACTTAAACAGTCTTGGTCAGAGCAGGGACTTTCAAAGATGAGGCATCTGCTTAGATTTATCCCTCTTGTCCTCGTAAGGGGTTCTCTGCACTGAGGCTCTTGTTCGGCGCCTGAAGTCCACTTCCACCAGGGAGAGGTTGTCATATGAAGACCCTACTGCCTCTTCTTCAGGCTGTGGACAGGACCCTGAGCAGGGCAGTGGAGTGAGTTGACACTTTCTGGGCCTGGGGGCATGGGAGCTCAGGAACCCCTTCCAGCCACTGTACTGCCTGGGAAGGACCTGAGGCCATTTGTCCTGTGCTGCTATCCTGGCTCTCTGTAAAGAAGCCTGGGGCTCTGGGCTGACTGGCGGGGTGGTGACCCACTGGGACATGAAACAAGGGTCACCATGCCAGCAGCAGGGGATGGTGGGTGTCAGCCATGCTGGCCTTGGTTGACAACACTGGGGGGATGGGGAGTGAGCACCTTTTACGGAGCACTGGATGTGGGCTTCAGAGTGGCTCTTTGCTTCCCAAGGGCCCCATCAACCTCTCAGGGACCCAGAGAAGGTCTGAATCTCAGGACAATGACCACAACGAGGACCTCAACAGGCGAGCCTTACAGTCTTCCTTGGCCTCAAAGCACGAAACAGGTGCAGCCGGAGTCAGCAAGCAGTCTCCAGAGGAGACACACTGCTTGTTGGTGAGTAGGGGACAGCCTGTGAAGTTGGGCCCTAGGCAGAGGGCAAGAGATGAGCCACCCGCTCTGCTGGCCTAGGGGAAACAGGGCAGAGAGTCAAGGGCTGACTGTAACAGGTCCATAGGGGATCCACTTGGCCACAGAGCCACTCTGTGGAACTTTCACTTCTGAGTCTCTGTCCTGTTCATGCCGTGTCCTTCCGCAGACACTTTAAGAAGGTCTGAGCTTGGTCACAGGATTTAGTGAGCCCTTCTTTCTAACATCAGGCATTTGAAATCCACCCCAACCAAGATGATTGTTACATGGCTATGTTTGAAAATAAGTCTTTGTTCAGTTGTTTGTGGTTGGAAAAAGTAGAATTTCCATGTCAACATTTAATGCACACGCATATGCGCGTGCACATACACCCGCGCACGCTCATTTTGAGCTGATGTTGAACATTTGCTTGCTGTTTAACTGTCTCAAGGTACGTCTTTTGCTTTGGCTACCTTTGCAAAGACGCCTGGCGTGTCTGTGTGAACACACACGTTCTCCTGCTGTGCATTTTCTCCCATGCTAATACTAGAGTCCCTGTTCATGGATTTTTATTGACTACAGAAGTTTTCATTGTTAGTGAAATTGGTAGATACATGTAATTTTATTGCTTGTCAGCTTCAGAAGGGTCTTTCCCAGGGCCAGCCATATAGCTCAGCAGATTAAAGCGCCTTCTTAGGCAGAGTGCAATGGCCAGGGTTAGATCCCGGGCATGCCGTGCTGGCCCCGCCCCTGGGGCACGCTGAGACAGTGATAGAGACTGGGCTTGGTGGCCCACTCCTGTAATCCCAGCGCTAGGGAGACAACGCAGGTGGATCACTTCAAGTCCGATCTACGTAGTGAGACCCTGTACACTGTGTAGACCCTGTATAAAAAACAAAGAAAAAGAAAAAGAAAGGTCTTTCCTTAACCTAAAATGAATTCCTCTAGGTTTTTTTCAAGAATTTTTTTGGGGGGGATATTGGGGATCGAACTCAGGCCCTTATACTTGCCAAGAGGTGTTATACTGCTGAGCTATCTTCCACCATTCAAGATTTCATTTTTGCAACTGACTATATAATCTGGGGGAAGTTTATTTGTGATGTGGCATGAAGCAGGGGCTCCCTGCTCTAAATCACTGTCTGGCCTTTTCTAATTGCATTTACATGGTGAATCTCTCATTTCCTTCTGCTGTTATCCCCTCCTCAATCACAGGTCAAGGGTTCACCCAATTTTTGTTTAGCAAAAAGAAAATAAAAACAAGGGCCAGCAAGAAAGCTCAGCGGTCTAAAGCGCCTGCTTAGGCAAGCTTAGGCGAGCACAGGGACCTCAGTTAGATCCCCACCACCACATACTGCGCCAGCCCCGCCCCCAGAGCTGGCTGAGCCAGCCACACACACACACACACACACACACACACACACACACAGAGGAAATAAAAAGGAAGCATTACAAATGCCAGTAATCCCTCTAGTTTGATTAAGTGATTTGAAATTTTTTAGAAAGAGGTTAATACATAAGAAATGTAAACAGTAGAAAAAGGGGTTCAAATAAATAACAAGAGCATCCTTTTCTGCTCACCGGTCCCAAGATAACTATGACAGATCAGTTTTTGTGATTCTCTGTCTAAATCTTTTCTTTGTTTTTTGGACACTGCTAAGGATTGAACCCAGGGCTTCACGCATGCTAGACAAGCACCTTGCTGCTGAGCTACATCCTCTGTCCTTTCTCTGTCTTAATAAGTATATCTCCATATTTTATTTACATAAAAGACATTCTGTTATATATAATCATTTTCTATACAATGAAACTTTCCAATCTGGTTTTAAAAAATAGAGCAAATACCCCTCCCTTAGTTTTTTTAAAACTTATACTTTCACCTAGACAAAAATCTAGAATTCATTTATTGTTTGATCCATGTCCAAAATACTATTTGAAATTTTTATTGAATTTACCTTAAGTATAAACATAATCTAAGAAGAATGGACAACTTGTTAATAGCATTTCCTATCACCAAAGAGAGCATTTCAGAACAACTATTTTCTTACAACTAAATTAAGTTTCCTGACAGGTTAGTGATACTAATTTTTTGACTACTGTTTTCTTTGTACTTAAGTATTTTATAAACACTTTGTAAATTTGATCCTCTTTAAGTACATTTGCTAATTTATTTTTGCTACGACATTTTAAACATTCACCGGGAGTTTTATTCACTTTCCCTTATTGTTTAAACATTAGACTTTTAAAAGTGCATCAACATAGCAAAAACAATGACTCCTTTTCCTGCTGTGTTCCAAGAATCCTGCTTCCTGTTTCCTGCTGTTCCTCCTGCTGCTGCTGCACAGAATTCTTGGAATGGGTCTGGTACCTACTGGGGGCGGGGGACATTCGTGGTCCAGCGCTTGCCTACATGTGGGAGGCCCTTGCCTTGGAAAAAAATAAACCGGCAAGTAACAGAAAGCAGGGATTTTGGTCTTGATTGGACCTCATAGGGATGGCCTCTTGTGTGTCACCATTGTGATTGACAGCATTTTTTCCATACGACATCCTCTTCCTTAAAGATACATCTTTATACGCGACTGTTTTAGAAAATCAGATTTAATGTCTGGTTTTAACCAAAGGCTTCCTAGCCTCTGTGATGACTGTCAATGCTTTCGTTTTCTTATTTGGACTACTGACATGAGATATTGTGATTGATTAAAACGCTTCACATTCTGGAAACAGACTTTCTCTTTGGATTTTGCAAAGTCCTACCTCATACAGTCATCCACTGAGTTTCATGAAAAGTTGATGCTGTAGCTCAACGGTAATGCCCTTGCCTAGCAGGTGTGAGACCCAAGGTTCTAGAAGTTGCCAGCACCGCCAGAAAAAAAAAAAAAAAAAAAGCCTGAGGGCGGCTGCCCCCTGCTGGGGGTGGGTGGGAATGCTTCACCTGACTGGACCAAGTTTACACAGTTGCGCACTTAGAGGTTTTACAGCTGCTAGCCTAGTCCGGAAGCTTACCTCCATGGAGATCCTAGAAGAGAAGGGAGGTCGCCTTGTTTCCAGGTTGGTGATTATCAGGGCCAGGCCTCACATTCCAGTGCTGGGACTCTGACTAGGACATCTGTACTGTTTGTGGCAGGGACCTGCAGAAGCCGAGAGGTCTCCCGTGAGAAGGAAGCTGATCCCAGCGAGCGGCATAGACCCCATCCAGGGTAAGCGTTTCGTGTAAATCCTTTCATACCCTCTGGCGCGCACCCCAGCTCCTCACATGGCACCTTTCCGTCCTCCTGTCTCCAACACCCTCCCTGTGCCCTCCGCATGCAGCCTTATCCAGGGCCTTGCAGGGGCTACCCCATCGAATCCCAGTCCATCATCCCCTGGCCCCCGGAGGCAGCTGAGCACCTGACCAGAGAGAGGGCAGGCCTGGTTCTTCAAAGTCTTAATGCAAAAAAAGAGTGAAAGCTCTTGTGGCTTTTAAGTTTGTTTGTTCAATGTATTTGATACATTGTCTCACTACACAGCTTGGACTCGTAGTGACCCTCCTGTCTCAGCCTCCCCAGCACTGGGATTATAGGAGTGTGCCACCACGCCCAGTCTCAGTAGCCAGCTCAGTGTGCCGGATGGGCGGGGCTGACACGGCATGGTGGCTTAAGTTTTTGAATGTTGATTACACAATGAATAATAAAATTGTATATTTATTAGAATTAAGTGAAATGTCTTACCAAAATGAATGTCACATGCTCGCTTTGGCAGCACCTGTACAAAATGAACACTTGTTTCCACTTAGATTGAATGAGGCTGCTAGAAAACACCAGCGCGCACTGGGCTGGGCATGGAGGTACACACTTGTAATCCCAGGATTTAGGAGGCAGAGCCAGGAGGATTGGAAGTTCAAGGAAAAGAAAAAAAGGGATGGAGGGGAAGAAAAGAAGAAAAGAAAGATCGCCAGCAGGCGCGCCCCTCCCCACAGTGTGCTTGCAGTCTCACACGCCTTGTTTGCACCCTCCTTATTTGTACCCCTCCACCTCAGCTGAGTCATTTGCCCCCATTGCCTCTGCCCCAGGGGCAGTATCGTAGGCGGAGCTGGGTGGCAGCCAGAGATCCTCCACCTGGAGGTGCTGTGCTCTGCATAGATGTGGCCCCTCTGGGCTCCACGCCCAGTGAGCCCCATCTGTACAGCTTCATGCCATGAGTTTGCCTTGTGCCTGCTGTCCTGCCCCTTTGTGCCCCCACCCACCCATTGCCTGCCTTCTCATCAGGCTGGGGCGCCCTCCGCAGGTGGGTAATCAGCCTCGCCCAGGGCAGAACGCTTTGTAGACGCTGCCTTCCCCACCTGCACTGCAGGTGAAGCCCGCCAGCACTGTGATAGAAGCGGGCTGGGATGTTGAAGCTGCAGTTTGATGGACATGGGGAGAGTGTCAGCTTCCACACTTAGGTTCTAGACCTGATTTAGGGTCCTCTGTCCGTTGCGAAGTGCTCTGAGCTCAACTGCCCCTGTGTTTCTCCCTCCTAGCGCTAAGGAAAATTTTCGATCAAATTAAGGACTTGAACCACAACTCCTGGGTCCCATTCATGCGGGAGCTGGGCCTCCCAGACAATGAAAGATACTTAATTACAAGCAGGAACAAAATTGATCCACTTTATGAAATGCTCCAGAAATGGCTCAGCGAAAACGGACGCCAAGCATCCATCAACGCTCTGCTGGATGCCTTGAAAGAAGTGGGAGAAAACTTGCTTAGAGAAGATACCGAAAAATATGCAGTGGACTCCGGGTATTTCATCTATGACGAGTGTAAAATGGACTCTGCTGTGTCATCGCAGTGAAGGAATGTTTGTAGGCTATATCGTTATGTGACTGTCAGTGCTACTTGAATAGGTTCAAAATGCATGGTAGAATTCTAATGCAGATGCAGGAGTGTCTAGAGATGATTGACAGGTGGACCAATAAACTGAGGAATGTCTCAGAAAATCCAATCCAGATGTGAATGATAGCCTGAGTGGAATAGAAAATGCAAAATGAGAGAAGGCAATGTAATAATACTGCATTGGGTAGCATGATTCCGAGCTTCTTACATTGATTACTGAAGTGGACGTATCATTCACGGAGTGAGAGGTCCTGAGAAGAGCACTCTCCCTTCCCTGTCAAGGTTCCAATCTCACTTATAACTCTGCTATGGCCTCAGGGAGCAAGAGTGATGGCGTCTATGAATGGGACACATTTCCCAACCTTGAACCAGATGGTCCCTCTCACTTCTGGGGCAGCTAAGCCCCTAGAGGTGCATATTCTTTGAGGACCACAGCATTTGGTAAGCATCTGACTACTTTATATAGAAATTCTAATTCCTAAACACTGATGATGAGGCAGAATAGCTGACACATTTGGGTTTTGGACTGTGAGGCTTTCTTTTCAACTCTTTTTTATTATATTTTTTGGTTCAGTTTATTTATTATCGTTATTATTATTATTATTATTTTTTTTTTTTTGCGGAACCGGGGATTGAACTCAGGCCCTTCCGCTTGCCAGGGAAGCGCTTATTCCACTGAGCCATCTCCCCGGCCCTATTATCGTTATTATTTTGATCAATAGAACTACATCTTGTCTGAAAAATTTTATCTGTACAGATAGGATTTCACTAAGCTGCCGGCACTGGGCTCAAACAGGATCCTTCTGCCTCAGCCACCCAGAGGCTTTGTGCTACTTTTATTTATTTTTTTTTAGACACTGTTTATTCCCAGGCTTGGCTTGAGCTCATGGTGATCCACCTGCCATCTCCCAAGTGTTATGGTTACAGGCAGGCCCTGGAGTCTGTTTCTTTTCCCACCTCTGGGCATTCTACGTTGTCTTGTTCCTCAGCTGGTTGACTGGACCAACATGCACATTGGTGATGGACTGCCTGTGGGGCATGTCCCTCTTCTTCCTGCTGCTGTGTGGCTGCCGCAGGCTCCTGGCAGCTGCAGGTGCTCCTGCTGGCAGGCCATTGTGTGCTGCTCCCAGGGACCTTGATCCCCACCTCTCAGGAAGCTCTGAGACTCTCATCCCTTCCTGAGGGGACTTCCAAGGGTCCCAGTCTAATCATGAGCCTCGTCAGTGTGGGACAGAAGTGACCTTTCAGTGACAGCATGTGGACACAGGTTCCCTCTGGTTCAGCCATGTGCTGTACTTGCTGTGTTTCCATTGGAACTACATCGGCGATACCACATAACACGTTTTGGTACAAAATAATGTCTTTATGAATTTATGACCAAATTAAATATGAAACCTTATATAAAAAGAGGTGTGGGTTTTTGTTGTTTGGCCCCATCTTCCCATCCGTCCTCTGGAACAGCTCAGTGTCATGAGTGGGGCGTGGTCTCATCAACCCCTTCCTTCCTCCCCTGTGCCTGGGTGTGTCCAGCACCAGGTGTTTCCTGTTTCTGCCTCCTGCAATCCTGAGCACCTCCTCCCCACCCCGCTCCAGCCTGGCTCCCGCACAGCTCCTGGGGTGCATACTGCTCTGACAGAGCTGTGGGGCAGGGCGGTGGGTCCCTGAGGCGTGTGTGGGCCTGCGCTGCCGCGGGCTTCCTTCAGCTCTGGCCACCAGCTGTCGGCTCTCATCAGTAGCTCCCTGTGCCGCGCCCTGCAGGCCCCTGGGAAACCAAGTCCCCTTCCCCCTGCTCTTTAGGACCTGCAGTTCCTGCACGGCCCATAGGACCCTCAGCTCTTTCCCCCACTTGGTGGGAGGGGGCTGTCCTGCTCTCCTAGATGCTGCCTTGTCAAAGGCCAAGGCTCAGCCTTGCCTCAGACAGGGCAGAGCTCTGCTGCGGGAAGCCTGACCCGCCAGCAGAGGGCAGCATGGGACTGCCTCCCCAGCCAGGCAGCCTACAGGACTTGCGAGGTCCCAGCCCAGAGAACAGGGGTCACCCCCCCACACACACACACTTTAGACCCACTTCACCTCCACTGCCTATTCTATCCCGATAGGTGGATTCAGCCTCTAAGCTCCAAGTGTTGGTACCACGCACCCACTGCAGTCACCCTGTTTCTGGGTGGCCCATCCCAGAGTGAACTCGCCTGTCCTGGGTGCCTTCCTAAAGCATCCTCTCAAGAGTTCTGAGCCAACACCACTGTCTCCTGACTGGCGCTCTGCAGCAGAGCTCCATCCCAGAGATGTAAGAGGGGTGGAGGGTGGCAAAGTGTGGCTCAGGCTTAGGAAACGGAAAAAGTCAACTAAGGCCCAGCTTTTACCCATGGGCAAAGCTACTTGAACGCCCCCATCACCTCCTCTCCAGACTAACCTATCCCATCCTCTTCTCCTTCCATTATATCAGGTTTAGACAGGGCTGTCTTTGATCCTTCATTACAGGAGAGTTCTTTTCTCCATCTGTCTTTTCCCCCTGACCCCTCTACCCCGCCATCTCCATGAAAACCCTGCAAGGTCACCCTTAGAAGGCGCCAGGGGCCATCTGCAAGATGGACAAAAGAAGAGCCCAGTGCTCCTAAAGCCCTTAGACCACAGCCCTCCCTCCAACCCCACAGCTTGTCACCAGCAAGCTGCAGGCCCGGAGCTGGGCTTCCCTGAGCTGCAGCCCGCAAGGCCAGGGTGTCCACAGCCACAGAGGCAGCAGGTCCTTTCCAGCAAGGGATCAGCATTGATGATGCAGCCTAGCCTTGTTCTCTTCATCCTGGAGCCTTCTGTTTGGTTTTATAAAAATGTAGGCTCTACAGGGTCTGTTCCGATCTTCATTCTTTGGGGAGACAGTGTTTCTCTTGATGACCTTCTTTGGAGCTTGGTTTTTCATTCCTCTGTTCTCTGGAGTTTTGCTAATCTGGCCCCACCTTACAAAAAGCAGTGCTACCCAGGGGCAGAGCAAGCCCCCCCACCCCCAGGAGCAAGGAACTGCTCTGCACAAACCGCACCCTTCCTCCTCCTCTCCCACCCCAACTGCTTCCTCCGACTCCCATCTGTGTGCAGGAGGAGGAAGAGAGAAGTTTCTCATTGCACCATGAGGCCCTGCCTCCAGGCCTGAGGCTTCCCAACACCTCTGCCACCTGCCCTAGGCCTGTGTTGTCCACAGGCCTACAGGGACACTGGCCGGATGAAAACATTCACAGAAAAACCTTTGCACATATGGCCTCCTCCAGCTACACCCCAGGCCGTAGATGTCTATCTTGAGTTGGGCTCTGAAAGCTTAATTTGTACCCTGATTTCCCCAGTGAGGATCTGAGTGTGTTCCATGTAGCAACACCCACGAAACGTTTGCTACCCTCAAGTCCACAGATGGAAAGACATGGCTGACAGGCTGGGCCTTTGCTGCTGTCTGGGACAGGCCTGCCTCCCTGGCCAGAGCAGGGACAGACATGCAGACAGGCCAGCCTGCAGGGAGTCATTTTTCTCTGACTCTTGGGTTCTGAAGCCCAGAGAGAAAATGCTGGAGCCCTTTCCCCTCTCAGCAGGGACCCTGCCCTGCCTGGAACCAGGGGCCCTGTGGGTAACCCTGTCTGATGGACAGCTCCTAAGCCGTGCTGGCTGGTGACACCCACTCTGCCCTTAGGGTCCTGGGAGGTGGGTCCTCTTGTCCCTGTTGGGTGGAGGGGGTGATGCTGAAGAGCGCAGGGTCAAGGGCAAACAGGACAGCAGCAGGGTTGGGAGAGAGTGGCAGCATCTCAGACCACAGCCGAGGAAGAGGATGGGGATGCCGAGCTGGCTGCGGAGGAGGATGGGGAGGAGGGGCTGTTCCAGAACAGCCAGCGCCGCTTAGGCTGCCGCTTCAGGTGCAGGTAGTCCTCCTTCTCGCGCTCCTTGCGCGCACGCTGGTAGTGGTCCTCCTCCTTCAGGTACCAGACAGGTGGCCAGCGGTGCTTCTCGAAGTATTCCTGATTTTCTGGAGCAGAAGGCACAGTGATAGGTTAGCAGGAGGGTGAAGGGACAGAAGACCACGGGTAGCAGAGACGCCTACACAGGCAGCCCCAGCCCGCGGCAGGTTCCGGGCCAACAAGCGCAAGGAGCCGGGCTCCAGGGTGGGCTGTCCCAGTGGGGGAGAGGCACTTCCGGATGAGGTGCAGAAGACAGCATGCTGCAGCGGCTCCCCACCCTACGCCCCCTCCCCCACCTGCCCCCATTAATCCATCCTAAGTGGGAAGAGCACCGGAGTAAGTACACTGACTCCACCCAGCCCCCAGCTTTTGCTCACAGCAACCCTACACACACTGCAGTGTCCCCCTGGCGGTGGGCCAAGTCGCTGCCCTGCCCAGCATCATCCCAGAGAGCACGGGCCTCAGTAGCCAAGGAAACCACACTTTAGCCGACTCAGCTCCTCACTGGCGACGTTGCCAGAGCTTGATCCTATTCAACATTCCAAGCCGACTTTCTACCGAATACATGATTGCCCCTTGGTCACTCAAAAAATGTAAATCAAGTGGAGCTTGATGGTGCACACCTGTACCCCAGCACATGGGAGGCTGAAGCAGGAGGATCACAGCAGGTTCAAAGGCAGTCTGGGTTCTTAAACTGAGTTTAAGAGCAGATTAAATTTCATAGCAAGGTCCTGTCTCAAGCAAAACAAAAAGTAAGACAGACAACCTATGTCAGGAATAGAACAGGCTGAGATCAAGAGAGAGGGATAAGGGGAAGGGACAACACAATGCTGGGGCTGAGCGCAAAGCTCCTGCTGGCCAGAGCCAGGCACTGAGGAGCTGGAGGGCAGTGCCGTGGCAGCAGGACCCAGGTCAGAGACAGGGAAGGTGGGGAACCAGGGAGCACTGCGATTGGACCGGGGCTTTAGGAAGAACATGCTAGAAGGGTCATAACATGCAGAAAGGAGAGCAGTGAGCTGGGAGAACTGGGAGGTGTGACAGCCATGCTGCGGCCAGAAGGGATCAGAGTCGGGAAGAGGGGCATGAAGACACCGAGTGGCAGACCCTTTGGGGAGGCCAGTGACACCTCTCCCTGTAGCCCGTGCAGCTCATGTTGGGCTCCAGGACCTGAGAAATTAATTCAGCAGAGACAGAACTGCAGGTGAGCATAGAAGGTAGCCAGACCTGAGTGACCTCTGTGGTGGGAAACCAATTTACTGTGTCAGGAAATCCTGTTCTTTTCTACAAGTGTACTGGATCACAGTATCAAGTGCATTTCTCACTGTGGTGCCCTATCTAGGAGAGTCTGAGAACTTCCAACTCTCAGCAGTGCCCTCTGAAAAGCATGCCTGGAGAGGCACAGTGAACTGCCCCAGGTCCCCAGCTGCCCAGCCCCTTTTGCTGGAGTTCCCCTCCCCCAGTAGGGGTGCCAAGGCCAAGTGAGGCCCAAAGATCATTGATCCCTGGGGTTAAAAGCCCCAGCTGTAGACCCAAGCTGAGGCCCCATGAGCCTAAGCTGGGGAGCCTCAGGTGCTGCCCGAGCTGGCACCCGGGGATGTGGCCTCACCTGGGGACATGGCCTTCATGTCTCGGGGGAACTTGCGGCATACGTTGTTGTAGTTGGTGCAGATGTGGTGGAGACACCAGTCGGCCAACTGGTATGCACAGTGGAACTGGGGACAGAGCAGAAGTGTGCATGTGTCCTGAGATCCCTGGGCTCAGGGACCACACAGACAGTCACCTTCGGAGCTGCAGCACTGGTGCAAGGTGGGCAGCACCTTGCAGTCACATGGCCCAGCCCCACAGGTAAGCCACCCAGGACTGAGCAGGACCATGCTTGGCATGGGCTCCTGGGCACTGCCATCAAGCCCTCTGTCACCTTGCTTCAGCCCTACCTGGGTGGTCACAGAAAAGGGTGGCATCCTACCGCACCTGCCCTCCTTAGCTCTTATCCCACATGACTTCCTTCTCCCCACCAGGAGGATGCAGGCATCTAGGCTCAGGGAGCCAAACCTCCTCAGAATGGCCCCCCAGGGCACTCAGGCGTCATATACTAACCTTCAGGGGCTCAATCTCTGCACGGTGAGATGGGTTCTCCAAGTTAGGGACCTGAGTTTGACCACAGGCTCCCTTTCTGCCTGCCACCTCCCAGCCCCCTATGGACTGCCAGTGGGTGGAAGACAGAGCCTGGAGGCAGACAAGCACTGCAGATTCCTTCCCACTGCGATACCTGAGCCAGCTCCAGGAACACGAGGACGTCCCCATCAATGTCCACCATCATCTGGGTTGCTTCCATCAGCCCGGTCACTGTGTACTGTTCTGTGACACACACAGCCAGCAATCAATGCAAGAACCATGTGCACCTGTGCTACTTACACCCATAGCAGGGACTGCCTGCAGGGTGGAGAGAGACAGGGACAGAGGTAAATGCCAACAGGCCAAGAAAGGCCCCAGGTGACTTAGGTGAGCTCCAGTGTGAGGCATGGGGGTGAGGGGACAAGGCAGGACCTTAGTGAGGTGGCAACTCGGGGCAGGAGATAAAGGAGGATGCTAACCTCACCGAGAGGATTTCCCAACTACATCTGTCCCACCACAGTCGGGTACAAATAGAGTCAGAAGCCCCCAAGAGAATTAGCCACAGATGGGAGAGGTGTGAAGCTGCATGTTTGCTGAAGACAAAATAAAAGGCTGAGAACTGAGTTAGAGAGGTGAGTTGAACCCAGGGGCATTCATTTAAACTTTGCAACAAACTTGCATTTTACATTAAAACTTTCATACTGGGGAAGAAAACGCCCTCAGGTACAAATTTTAATTAGGAGTGTCAGTACTATAAACTCATGAGGGACTTTATCTTTAGGGACAAGCATATTTTCCAACTCTGTCCACAGAAAAGATCCAGAAGCAGTAATGATCCCAGTAGCAACAAGCATTCCTAGTGTGCAGAAATCCCACATCCTTTTCCAATTGGAAGCCAGGAGCTCTCAGAGAAGCGGCCGATGGCAAGTCCTGGTGCAGGTGTGCCCAACCTTTGGCATTCGCATGCCACGTGAGGCCCTGAACAACCAGCAATGCAACCCAGCACAACTATAAATGGTATGTTATTATATAATTTTCTTGTCATATCCTCATGACTTGAGGGCATGACGCTCTAGCCTGGGTTGTGCAGGCGACAAGAGCAGACCGGGCAGGGAGAGGCATGGTGTGGTGCCAACTCTGCTGCCTGCACCCACCACGGTGGCATCCACACCCAGCATGTCAGATCTTACTGGTGCTCGTGCAACTTGGCAACTCAAATGCAGGCATTATACTCTTTGAAAGGTTATAACAGACCATAGAAAGTAAGGGAAGCTTGTTGCCTACAACCGTTCCCTGTATCATATATTTTATATGTGGCCCAAGATACTTTCTCAAATTGGCCCAGATAGGACATGCCTGTCTTAAGCATGAAATATACAAGAGGAAGCTAGAGCACCCCATCCTTCCAGAAAGCAAGGGAGCTCTGCAGCTGTGGAGCCGGCGCAGGTTCCTACTACATAAACGTGCAATGTCTGAACTTCAAAACATGGAAATTAACTGAAACCAGTCAAGCATTTTGAATCTAATCGTGCATAAAAATACTCTTGAAATATAAACACAAGCTGGGTATAGTGGCACACACGTATGATCTCAGAACTCAGCACGTTGAGGCGAGGGGGATCGCTGTGAGTTCAAGACCAGCCTGAGCCACACACTGAGAGCTTGTCTCAAAAACAAAAAGAAAAGCTATTTGGTCATTTCTGAGGATGACAGGAAATAAAAGCATATCAAATATTGGTAAATAGGGGCTGGGGAGATGGCTCAGTGGAATAAGCACTTGCCTGGAAAGCACAGGGGCCCGAGTTCAACCCCTGGTTCTGCCAAATATTGGTAAATAAAAGGAGAGAATCAAGCATCCACCTGCCTTTCCTACATGACCTGTACCACTGTGTGACAAAGCAGTTGGTGAAGGGAAGTTGCTCTTTTTAGAAGTCTTTGTACTCTTTAATGAAGAAGAATGGCTGAACTGGAATGTGTTTTGTGACACCTTAATAATTTGATGGACCCAGACAATGACACTCAATGTGTACAAAAAAGAGAAAAACAGACAATCTCTGTCCCTGATGAAGACAGAAATAACCTACAAAAAACCCTGTAAGGTGTGGTGACATGTGCCAGTGACCCCAGCACTCAGGAGGCTGAGGCAGGGGGACTGCTGCAAATTCAAGGCCAGTCTGGATTACACAGCAAGATGCTGTCTTAGAAAAAAAAAAATTTAAAACTTGTGCATCTCAGCTAGGCTCTAGTCAATCACCAGCTTACTATGTTCAACTACACTAGAACAATGCAATCTGCAAAAATCTAGACCATGGAAAAATTACCGGAGGAAAAGACCAGCGTTTGGTTTTGTTTCAACAAACAAATTTCAGGAAGAAAACTTTTGTACTGGTCAAGGGATCTGCAGGTTCAAAGCAACCTAAAAGAGGTATAAAAAGCCAAACCATCTGGGAGTGTTCAAGTGTGCACAGCTGGATGATGAAGCAAAAAGGGGCGGCAAGACAGTGAGCCGGCAGGAAGCACCCCACAAAAACAGGCCCGAGCAGTGTGGGCCCTTCCAGGAGGGACAGAGGGCTCTGGGGTGGCAAGGGAATGTTGATTTCCAGTGTTACCAGCCAGCTTCCCCTTCTGATATGCATCAGGACTGGAAAAACATTTTGCTTTATAATAATCTACTAAGCTGAACATGTTTCATGTAGATTTATGTATTCATATTTATATTTAACAACAAATAGGTTTGAAGTCTGAACGAATAACTTCATGGGAGGTAGATCCCACAAAGCTCAAAACTCCACCAGTTACGTGAAATGGTCCGCACTGCCCAGGGACCCCTTACAAGGTCCATGCACGCATTTCTGTCTACAGTGGCTGGTGTGAATGTGCCATTCCCAGAGAAAATTTATGCAGTAAGTGTGCATCACTATGTCCATTTTCTTTTTAAATTAAATGAATGATAGGGGCCGGGGAGATGGCTCAGTAGAATAAGTGCTTTCCTGGCAAGCACAAGGGTCTGAGTTCAATCCCCGGTTCCGCCAAAAATAAATAAATTAATTAATTAATTAAATGAATGAATGAATGAATGAAGTTTTCAGAATACCTGGGATGGAAGCCAGGGCCCCGCAGATGCTAGGCAAGTGCCCTACCTGAGCAGCACCTCTAGTCTCCAGTGTTCTTAAAACAGCTACCACGTGGACTTATTAGGAGGGCTTAGCCAAGGGTATTTCTCTGATTCGCTTCCAACTGCCTGCCGTGATGAAATGCATGTTTAGAGAAATACCTCTGTATATTTAATTTTTCCCTGGGATAATTTTTTGATAGTCTTTTGAAAGTAAAATTAGTCCATCTAAGGATTTGAAATTTTATGTGCTCTGGGAAGACCACACCATTTTTCTTTTCTTTTCTTTTTCTTTCTTTTTTTTCTTTTTTCTTTTTTGTTCTTTTTTTTCTTTTGTATTTTGTGCAGGGTCTCACTATGCAGGTCAGACATAGTGATCTTCCTGCTTTCACCCTCCCCAGCACTGGGATTACAGGCGTGTGCCACTATGCCCGGATTTGGCTGCCTGCTTAGCATGCCCGGGGCAGGGGTGGGGCCGGCATGGCATGTGGAACCCTGGCCCCTGCACTTGCCTAAGCAGGTGCTTAGTCTGCTGAGCTACCTCACCAGCCCCTCACTCCATTTTTCTTAGGTTAAACTGTTTAAGCTGTAATCTTAAGGTGCCTCTCTTACTCCCTGTCCTAAAGGCCTTTCTGTCCCCACCTGGTGTCCCTGGACTCCCACCGCAGGCTCATCCCTTGACATTTTGGTTCTGATCAATGATTTCTGCCTTCTTCCTGTGACCATGCTGTGCCCTACAATTCCTTTATCATCATGAGCTTGCTGCTTGCCCTGTGGTCCTCTCTCCAGGGCCCCAGCAATTCTGACACTCCACCCTTGACTGAACCCCAACTCCTTATCTGAGGATTTCCTCTTTGCCTCCTCCAAGCCTGGACTGAAATCTTAACTTGACCTCAACACCACACCAGCAGCGATACCAACAACAGCATGAACACCGATTCCAACATCAGCAGAAGCCGCCTGGCTGCCTGGGTCTCCGGCCTGCCTCCCTTCTCCCCAAGAACACGGTTTATCTTCCTCAAACCCGGGCTGGATCACTCTGCTGTCCAGTTCTCTCCCACCCCCAAGGCATCCCTGAGCCTCCAATTGTCACAGTCCTCTCCCAGAGTATGGAGAGGCAGGCCAGTGTTTGTTTTCTGTTTCTTGAAGAAGGAAAAGATGCTGAAATCAAAGGTAGAGAAGAGAGAAGAGAAAGGAAGTATGAAGCGGAGGAAAAGGCCCCTGGGGTAGAAACGTAGAATGGCCATCTAATCTTTGTTGGCACTGCACGCCTGCCTCAGTTAAGAAAACAAGCCAAGAACACAATGTACGGCTGCTTGCAGGGACCACTTTGCTGGCCAAGATGACCTGCGGAGAGCCTCTCGGTGGCACTCAGCAAACACACTCCTCATCTACATCCTGCCCCGAAAACCACGTATCAGTGGCCTTCGTTCCAGGAGTGCTCCATCCCTTGGGTGCCACCTGTTCCCAGGAGAGAGGGGACACACAGCACATAATCATGCCCCTGGTGGGTTCTCCCCAAAGGCGCCCTGGGAGCTCCCAGAGCACCCCGGTTAGTTACCTGTGAGGGCAACCAAGTGAGGCAGGCAGAGGCGGTTGGCCAAGATGATGAGCTTCATGTCGTCCAGGTCAGGGCTGGAGGTGAACATGCCGGTGTACAGGTACTCCAGCACAGCCCGCATGCAGCTCTTGCTCGTGTAGGGGAACACCACCTGCGGGGGAGAAGTGGGCCGGGCGCCATGAGGTTCTGCTTAGGGAAGGAGTGTCTCAGGTCCAGGCTCTGTGTTGGGCTTGTACCTGCTCAGGAGACCCCCAAAGCACCCAAGAACAATGCATAAGTAGCTTTGAAGGGACCTGGATTCTTTGTAACATTTGTGAAGCTGCTCTGGCTTCCAGGTACTTTAAAGAGCCATTTACATCACTTACCCACACCCCACCCCCACCCCCGCTGCCGCTGCCATCACCCCAAGCCTGCAGGGAGCAGCCGGAGTGGGATACAGAATGAGCAAAGGGAGCGCCAGCTGGCTTCTCTCTGGCTGCTCAGAGCTGCTGCTCTGGGCCTCTGGGATGGCTCTGAAGCAGTGCTGTAACCAAAACTGCTTTCTCATCAGCTGTGAGTCTCTCTGGGCAAGGGGTAAGCTGGCCAGAGCTTTAAAGCTGGTGCTGCTGGCACAGGGAAGTGCCCGGGGCTGCACAGAATCCCAGTTCCTCCCTCTGGAAATCCAAGTCCTTCTCCCACGTGGGAGACCACCCCACACCTCAGGCCTTCAGCTTAGCCTGCCCTAAGGCCTTGCTTCCCAGAAATCTGAGTAAGGTCATCTTCTCATAGCGGGAAACGATACCGCATTGCTCTTGGCTCAGCTTTCCATTCAAGTATTGGGTGATCCTTCACTAACAGACAGGTACTTGGCAGAAGCCAAAGATCTGGTCCCTGCACTCCAGAGCAATCACGGACCAGTAGGAAAAACTTCAGAGGATGCTCAGAACTTTCCTCGTCTGAGCAAAGTACAAGCACAACCATAAGGCACTGTGGTGGGCAATTAATGTTCCAAGATTCCGAGCTGATGGAGAACACCGAGGGCCGCGGCCTGGGCTACTTTGCTTGGCTGGGAGAACGGAAAAGAAAGGACACTTTCAAGCAAGCAAAAAGTGATGAGCCCTTCGAGCTCTGAGTTTCTGGTCTAGGGATGTGAGGAAGTGGCAGCATAAGGAAGACAAAGAGGCCAGCTGGCAGGGCACTATGTAGAGCGCAAGGGGACTGCACTCAGTGTGCCTTCTATATTCTGAGTTTTGATCCTCTTAGTGGGGCTAGGGCCTGCGCGTTCCAGGGCTAGTCAGTTCCTAGAGATAGCAAAGAAACTGCCTGCAAGTGAACCTTTCACATCCAAGTTAATCACATCCTCAGCCACTCTCATCCTGCCTGTATTCCTCTGCCCCAATCACCCCAGAGCCAGGACCCAGACAACTAGGGACACCTCATACCCCAGAGCCCACTGCAGTGGTCCTGGCTGGCCAATCCTAGGCTGCTTGCTGTGCCTGCACTGTTTCTGTGGGCTTCTCCAGACATTGGCCTCAGTGTAGCTCAACAGTAATAAAACCTACCTCTGAAGACAGCAGTAGATTCATCATAATGATTTTTTTTTTTAAGTTGTTTCACAAGTCTCAGGGAGCAATGAGGTATTATATAAAGAGCCAAAGAATTAGCAATCCTGAGACCCAGTCCTAATTCTCCTTTCTGCTCACAGGTCACTATTTATCAGGGCTTCCCTGCCCCATTTACGAAGTGGGAATGCCACATTGTATGTGCAAGTCACATAAGTCCTTCCCAAACTACCAAGTTCAGATATAACTGTAACTCTCTCTCCTGGAATATGGTCGCTTCCCGAGCTCTAGAAACCATCTCATACATGGGCTCATCACTCTGGCCCTCTCCCCTGACCCTTTCCCATGCTCCACCTCACCTCCCTGGTAGAACTTTCCACAAACGGCCCCCCAAACATGGCAGCCATCCAGTCACAGCTGGAAATCAGCAGGGGCTTGTGGGCGCTGATGGTGCCATCATCCAGGATGAAGGTCACATCTGTGCAGGAGAAAAGGCATCCAGTGAACTTCAGTGAGCTTCAGGACTAACCCCAAGGGCCAATGGATCCCTGACTGCCCAGATTTCTCCTGAGGCCACAGCTATGGAGCATGAACCACCGAGCTCTCACCTCAAGGAGCAGGCAGCCCTAGCTCCAGGATGTCAAAGCCAAAGCCCACTTGGAATGCTAGTGAAACCAGCCCAGCTCCTTGAGAAAGCTACCTGGAGATGATCCCTGACCTTCTAAGCATACCCCATACCTGAGAAGGTGCCTTTCGCCAAGCATTCCTTAACCCGGTTGGTGCGGCGGACGTGGAAGGCCTTGGTGATCTCCTGGTTCATGAAGGCCTCATTGTTGAGAATGTTGGCCACCATCATGCGCAGGTCAAAGACTTCCAGCAGCTCAGCAATATGGGCAATGTGCATGAGGTCCCGCTCATTCTCACCCAGCTCCCCTGTGTACAGGTACTTGAGAACAGCCCGGAAGGGCCCTGGCTGGATGGAGTTGTCCATCTTCACCACCACCATCAGCCGAGATTTGTAGGTCAGAGGATCCTCTGCCATCTCTTCCTGGATGCTGACAAAAGCTCGGCTCCAGGAAGACAGCACACGACCTCTGCCCGGCAGGTACCCTGTTCCACTGCCCCGCAAGATGCCGTCACTGGTTGAGGCTCGGAGACCAGCAGGACCACAGCCTCCCGCCTCATCCACGCTCTCACATACATCAAAGCTGGCTGCCCGTAGCAGGAAGTCCCGCCCATGGTGGTGGTGGTGATGGTGGTGGTGTTGGTCGGGGTGGCCCCGGTGGTCCTCTGGGCGGGGCCCCCCTGGCCCCGAGGGGCCTCCCAGCTCCCCCTCACTCAGGTCCATGAGGAACAGGTCGTAGAACTTGGAGGAGGAGGTGGAGAGGTAGATCTTGTGGGCAAAGATACGCACCCGCTCCTGCAGCACCAGGATGACATCCGCACAGAGCGGGTCCTCCAGGAGGTGGGCGGGGCACTCCTCACTGCTGGAGGGGGGGTCGGGCACCACAATGATGGGGGGTGGTGGCTTGGGAGGCAAGAAGGGTGCCTGGAGTAGAGGCCGCTGAACATTGCGGAGGTGAGACTTCCAGAACTGCAGGTGGCGCCGGGAGATGAGCGCAGCCCGGATGGCATTGTCAAAGACGTCCTTGATGCCAAACTGGGCCACCACGCTGGTCTCATAGTAAGGGATGCCCAGCTCCTTGGCCACCTCCCGACCCTTTTCCGGGGGAAGGATCTCATTGGGTTTGATAGGCCTGGAGAGTTCAAGGAAGGAAACCTAACTTGTGTGGGTGGTGGGGACAGCCTGCCCAAGAGCCTGCCCACCCTTCCCCAGCTGGAGGCATACCACTCATGATCACAGCACTGGCCCTGCTCCTGCCCTGCTCTTTCTCCTCTGCCTGGCCAAGTTCCTATATGGTCCCTCAGTCCCACCTCCAAACCCTTCTTCCAGGAAGCCTTCCCTACTTCCCTGTTGATGCCAGACCCCAGCAAACCCTCACATCCCAGTTTAAAAGTGATAGTGCCACCTCCCTCTCTGCAATTGGCATGCCAGGGCTCACGTGGGTATTATCCTGCTCACATACAGCTACACCTCAGTATTTCAGGGGGACTGGTTCCAGGACCATACCCAAATATCAAAATTCCCAGAACCTCAAGTCTCAGATTTACAATGTCATGGGATATATATGACCTGTATACATCCTCCCCTAGACTTGAAATCATCTCTGGGTTATTTACAATACCTAATACAATATAAATGCTATGTAAAGAGGTTTAACGATGCCTTATCTAGGAAATAACAACAACAAAGACAGTCTATGCATGTTGAGAACAGATCCCAGTTTTTAAAAAATATTTTCCATCCACAGTTGGTTGAACCCACAGAGACCAAACCTCTGGGCACAGAAGTTTAACTGTATTATCTTCAAAATCATTGTAGGATCTTTTGATATAAATCCCATGGACCCTGTCTTTGTGCACAGTGCCTAGGCACAGTAGTGTGTGCACCACAGGGGGGTGACAGACACAAGGATGGATGGACGGGTGAACGAGCATGCTTGCTGTCTCTGATATAAGCTTGCTCTAAGTGGAGGGCAAGATGTAAGCCCCGGTGGGATCCCCTCAGGGCTGAGCAGGGAGTTGTGCAGACATACCCTCCTCAGTGCCCACCCCTCTCCCCAGCCCCCAGTGCCCCTACCTGGCCAAGGGGCGCCTTGCCCTGTTGACAGCCTCCAAGTCAGCATACCGCAGGTCCAGCTGGCAGCCCACCAGGATGACAGGCGCTCGGGGGCAGAAGTGCTTGATTTCTGGGTACCACATCGTCTTGACATGGTGGAGGGAATTGGGGTTGGCAATGGAGAAGCACAGAACCACCACATCTGATCTGGGGGCGGGAGGGAGACGTCATGGTCAGGGAAAGCTCATGGGAGGTGACCTGTCCTTGGAAGGAGGGGACATGCATGTCCACCCCGGCCCCCCACTCTGCAGGCCCAAACCTGGCTTATGAACCTGTTCCTCCATGTCCCACGCAATGCATAACAATAGTACCTCTATGACTTATGCAGAATTTTAGCACTAAAGACCTGTGGGCCTCATAACTATCTTGCTAGTTCAAAATTACCATTTCTACATCTCATCATGACAAAAGTCTGCTCATGGCAAGTATGTGGCAGAGCTGGGACTCAGACCAGGCCTCTGGACCCCAGTCCCAGGCTCCCCTGTCCTGCCCCGCCCCGCCCAACAGCACCAGCTGTTTTCCTCCACTCTTTCCTCTGGGTTTCGGGTGCACCGTATTGCTCATTGCTCGGTCCCTTGGGGAAACAAGAAAACCTGCCCACGTGTCTCCCCACAGGGAACCCAGGCTTCCCCTACCTCCCATAAGCAAAGCGACGATCTTTGTGGTGGTCTCCAAAGGTGTCCCAGAGGCGCAGAGAGACACTGACGTCATCTACCACGTCTCGGGAGCGTTCCAGCACCTGGGTGGGTGGGGACAAAGGTTCTTGGGTTAGGTGCAGCTCACTCCTGAGGCCCACAGCTACGTGAGGTGGGGGAGGGGTGAAGTAACAAAGTGGCACCTCCTACATGTGCCTTGCACAACACACTAATCCATGTGAACTCTCCAGAGAATCAAGGTGGCCTCCAAGCCCAGCAGAACCTGGAGAGACCTGAAGAGGATCCTCCCCTAGCTCCCAGCTTTCCTTGCAATCATGCACCGCCAGGATCTTTTGGCACTGGCTCTTTCCCCCTCTCTGCTCTCACCTTTCCCAAGCTGCAGCCCAGAGGACTCCCCATGACTTAGGGGTACGACTGCACAAGATGCGGTACCCAGCCAAATCAGGGTCTGCCAGGCGCCAGTCCAACTATTCAAAACACAAACGGTTGACGACAACACCTCAGCTGTGGGCTCCCCTCAACCTGTCTCCATTGGCTCGCTATGCTTCAGCTGCCCCCACTCCGTGCCTAGGGGGCTCTGGAGACACGGAGACATGGAGCCATGGCTTAGGAAGAAACCCCAGAGGCATGGCGTGGTCCCCTGCTGAGTGGTCTTGTGGCCTTACCTCTTGGCACACACGATACTGGTCGATGGCCCACACTGTGGGCACATGGGTGGCGAGCAGCTGGTACTGGGTGAGGGTGGCATTGCAGGCCCGGGCACAGATGAGCCTGGTCTTGCCCACAGCGTTGTCCCCCACCACCACGCACTTGATGGTCTCTACGTTTGGCCTTTCATAATCCATGTCAGAATCCATTAATTGGGACCTGTGGGCAGGAGGGCAGCAGTCAGGACAGCTTGGCATGCTGGACCCCGAGGACCAGGGTCAGGGCAAGCTGCTCTTGTCAGCTGGGGCTGGCCCCCCGTCGAGCATTGGCACTGAAGGACAGACGAATGGGCAACTTGGGACAGTGGCTCTGCAGGGACCCAAGGAAACAACCCATTCAGGCTGAGAGTGGCAAGGCCACCAGAGGGACTGCTTCTCTCCCTCTGGTCCCAACTGTCCTCGTGCTGGGCTTCAGGATGCAGGAGGCCTGTGAGAGATCCCAAGGCAGAGCCCGCCCTGTGCCTATCCTGTCTCAGCTGCCCCAGAAAGAGAAGCATGTGCCTGGGAGCTCACTCATCCTCTGCTCTCCTCTACCTCCTCCTCCTCCTCCTCTTCCTCCTCCTCCTCTTCTTCCTCCTCTTTCTCCTCCTCTTCCTCCTCCTCCTTCTCCTCCTCCCAGGGCTGTGACAGCAGCAGAACAGCTGAGAGAAGCAGAGTCAGGGCCAGGTCCCCACCCCTTCCCAGCATGCCCCAGGGCAGGCCCACTTTAAAATTTAATGGACTTGTCAGGGCTGAGTGGCAGCTCTCTGCCCCCCCCCCCCTCTCTAGCAGTGCATTTCCATGCCTGGGGCTGCTCCTCCATCCTCCCAGCCCAGCCCTCTTTATGGAGATGGGAGAGATTTCCTGCTAGCCTCTGTGGGCTGGAGAGGCTTCTGGAGGCAACTGCTCAGCCTGCAGGCGTCCCTCCTCTACGCTGTGGCCCGCGTGTTGCCCATGTGTCCTGTGCAGCTAAGGGCCAGCTTGAGATCTGGGGAGGGTAACCACGGCTTGTGCCAGTCAATCAGGCCTTCCTGTCCCCTACCTGGGCTGTTTCTCCTCAGCATCTTGCGTCTAGCCCCCGAGGAAAGCGAGACCTGGCCCCCTCTGCACTTCCTACCCCTAGGAAGACCCGGCAGCAGGCTCTCCCAGGAGAAGCTCACTCTGCTGTCTCCCTAGAGTGCAGGCTTGCTAGGAGAAGCAGAGGGTCACAGCTTCTGTCTGAATTTCTGGGCAAATGTTCACCTCAGTTTCCTCCAGTGTTGGGCACAGAGGGATTAGCTTGTCCACCCCCAGCAAGGGTTGGCTCAAAAGAATGAATAGAAAGCCCTTCTGCAGTCAAAATGTCAAGTCAGTGTTTTAAAAGCTGTTTCCAGGAGGCTCGAGGGGGCTTAGGCTGTCAGCCTCTCAGCTAGAATCCACTCTCCTCCCAGGGCTGAAGGGACACTGAAGGGAAACGGTTTCTGCAGGGTCATCGGTCGGCCACTGCTTACATGCAATGTGTGCAGAGTTGTTTGGGGGCTAGAACGACCCAGAGGAATCCTTCCTCGGCCAAGGCTCAGGAGAATCCTGGAGGCTGCCCAGGCACCTCATGGCTAAACCGTCCAGCCCCAGAGCCAGGCCACCAGCAGCAGCCAGAGCTCCAGTCCTGCGGGCTGTAACTGGATGCCAACATGCAGGAATGCAGAACCGAAATATCCAAGTAACAATGGCCACTGAGATTTGCCCAAGTGAATGCAGCTCAGCAACCTAAGCAAAAAGGGCAGCAAGGACTTTTCAATGAGACAGCTTCCTCTCTTGCTCCTTCTCAAAACTGCACAGCACCTGGACCCCTGAACAGCCAGGGTCTCCACGAAGTGCCCTCCTGTCTGCATACTTCTCTTCCCACTAGGCCGCTTCTCTAACAACTGGCTTCCTCCTCTTTTCTCTCCTAAGTGAAGGGTTACGAATCCACTTCAACTTCCTGGGGGATGTTTGAGGACCACCGGGACAAGGCATGGGGGTGTGGTTTCTGTCTCATGGATAAATAACAAAACACAATCCTGACTTCAAAGCATGTACAGCTGTGAGATACAAATTCAAGCCCCCGGCCCACGGAACTTCTTTCTGGAGTTCAGGTTCTAGTAGCATGTAGCTCTGGAGGAAGAGGAGGGAGGCGAAGAAAAGAGGGAGCTGGGGCTTCAGTTCTCCAGTTCAGGACCATCCTCGTAGCAGGGATGAAACCAGGACACCAGCAGAGCAGGGCTTTTCAGAGTTCAGCTACTTTATGATTAACACACTCTCGCATACCTTATGTTATGTCACCTCTAGGATTAAGTGGAGGACAGCCAAACCACAAGTAGAAGAGTGACAAAAACTGGGCCATGAGTTTAGATACCAGACTCACTGGATGGCTACCAAGCTGGACACCAATTCCCTATGTGCTCCTCAGCTGCCCTCTGATGTTCCCCAGTGTGTCTTTTACCATCTCCCTATATTTACAATCTTCACCCATCCCACCCGTCCCAACTGCCTGATTGGCAAACTTCATCATCCTACCATGGAAAAGGCAAATCACTAGACTCTGGTGGGCATCAGTCTTTCTCTCTGGAAAATGGGTATGAGAACATTGGAAGAAAGTCTCATGGATCGCCATGAACTTGTGCCAAGAGAGCCTGGGTGAAAGGAGGTATTTGTCTTCTTATGTAATGTAGTATTATATAATGCTAGATTATATATCTATATGTGTAATTATATCTTCCTTTAAGATACAGACTGGCCCAATTAAGCCAGCAGAACGCTTAGTCTAATCAGACCTGTCTTAAATGAGATTCTTGTCCTGGAGCTAGTGTGCCAACAGTAATATAATTTCTGCTCTGAATATTTCTACTTTTCTGCACCATTGCTGGTGCAAGATGGTACAGCCCACTCAGTGAGCATCTCAACTTCTCTTTCCCTCTGGCATCCTCTCCTTCAATGACTCTCAACTTTTTCTCCCCACTGCCATATCCCTATTCCTGCAAAGCCTCCCCCACTACTCTCCAGAAACTAATATCCCCTTGCTACTCTCCCCTGGGATCTACAACCCCAACCCACCCCTCTCCCAGATAATCCCAAAGTCATGGGCATGTGCTCCGCTCAACCCTTGCAACATGACCACTGTGGTCCTCTCCCAAAACAGCTCAACTGCTCTCCAGTTCTTCCTCTAGTCCAAGCCAGTCCTGCAGTTGTGTTCAGATTAGCCACAAACCTCAAGGGCTCCCATTCCTCCCCCATACACCCCTACACACACTTTGCAGAGCTCAGAAGAGGCCCCCTTTCCCTCCCACAGCTGATAGGCTTGTTCATCTGTGGCTGTCCTAGTCTGGTTGTCAAGGAAACAACAGAATCTCCCTGGGAGCCTGGTTTGTCTCCTAGCAACCAATATCCCACATCCTGCATCTTACAAAATGTGAAAGGGACAAAAATTCAGAAAATGAAAGTAAAAATCAAGACAATGAATAGAAAGGGAGAAACGGAGGAGACAAGCAGAAGGTGGATTTGGAATTAAAGGAGCTCCCACTGGGGTCGCTGGGATTTGTAATGCCAGAGAAGGTGGAAAGATGGATCCTCGCTCTGATCCAATGGGCAGCAAGGCCCAAAGAGATCTTGACTGGTCAGATTAGCAAAACTGCAAGCCTAATCACAGGACGAACCTTTTCAAGCCTAAGATATCAAATTTTGACGGAACAATGCAGGCGGTTTTCCAGCAGTAGTTTAACAGAACTCAACTGCACAGACTGCAATGGAGTTGAGCTCCAAGAGGTATCTTCACAACCGCAAGCAAAACGCCCAAATTCCACCAGCATTTAAAAACAAACTCTGCACCCCAACCTCTCGTTTGGCCCCGACACGCTGTTCTGCACACATTGTAAAAAAAAAAAAAAAAAAGAAGAAGAAAGAAAGAAAAAGGAAAGGGGGAGGGGCACAACGCGCTGTGGTAATCAAGTCATCTCTCGGTGGAAATACAGTACCAGGAAAGGTTAGCCCCTCGCCCCCTCAGGCACGAGCAGGGAAGCCAGAGCCCTGGGGGAGTTCACAGGGCGCGGGCAGGACCCGGAGGATACACCCAGGAGGGGGCGGGAGGGCGAGACGGCGCGTTTGCACAGGTTGGCCGCAACCAGGGCAAAATAGAAAGCAATCATTTACTTACACCACTACATGTGACGGGGTAATTGCTAGTGTACGGAACACATCTCTTCCTGCTAAGCACGCTCATTTTAGTGAGATGTCTGGGGTCACTCCGCGCGGGCAAGCTAGGACGACGCCGGCCTCCCTCGCCGCGCCGCTGTGGGCTCCAGGTCCGGCCCGGCTCGCGACGGATCAGAAACTCTGGCAGAGCAGCCCAGGCCGGACGGCGCTGCACTGCAGACACTGCCTCTTCCGGATCAGCATCTCCCCGCGCCCCGGGCGCCCAATGTCATGGAGGCGCGGGGCGCGGGCTGGGCTGCGCGGCCGCCCAGACCTCGGGCTGCTGGGCCGAGCCGGGCTCTGCGTGCAGGCTGCGGGCGCGGGAGTGTGAGCAGCCGGGCGAGGCCCGCGGCGCTGGCGCTGCCAGAAGACGCCTGCCTAGCGCTGCAGTCCCGGGAGCCGCTCACGACCTCCTTTTTTCATTCACAAAAAGGGAAAAGAAAAAAAATAGAAAAAGAGAGAGAAAAGGCGGGGGGCAGGAAAAAAAATCGCACCCAGGAACGGCTGCCGTAACAGGGACCGCCCACCGCGGCGCACTGTTGGTGGAAAAGGGAGGGGGCGGGGAAATAAGGCGATTGGGCGCCCGGGGCCCCGCCCCCGACGCCAACACCCTCCCCCGGAGCAGCCCGAGACTCAGCTCTGCGCTGGAAGCCGCTTTGTCCCTCTCCTCCTGGCCAGGTGCGAAACCTCGCTGGACTCTTGCGGGGTGGTTCTTTTCTCCAGAAGGCGGAGAAGGAGCTCAGAGGCCTCCTAGCGTGCCAAGGAAGGCTTGCGAGTTGAGGCAAAGGGAGCTTTTTCCTGTCTTTCCCCTTAAACTCAGGCCTCCACCACTTGCCCATAGGAAGACAACAGCGTTTCACGCAAGTGCTCTGCGATGCAAGGACTTCTCCCTGCACTTGAGCGCCTTCCCCATCGCCCCTGTAGCTGCTGCCTATGCCTCTGACTACCGTGACCCGTAGGGACTTTGGGGTAGGTGCCTGTAAGGTCATATCTGTCTCCCATGAAGGGCTTCTTTAGCGAGCCTCACCCCACCCCATGGGACACCTTCTGGCTTCCGATAGGAATGCGCCAAAGTAGCCACACAAGCAGACCCCGTTGGGTACTGTTTCCATCCACCCTTCTATAAAAATAGTAATTCTAATTGCATCTGTCAGGGGCTGGGGGTTTGGCTCAGCGGTAGAATGCTTGCCTAGCAAGCTGGAGGCCCTGGGTTCGGTCCTCGGCACCAAAAACAAAACATAAGCCTCCCCTAATTGCATCTGTCAAATGAGTGAGTGCTCTCATCATGAGCTTCAGGGTGAGGCTGGTTGAGTTTTCATGATCTGGACAACTAGCCGCGCTGCCAGTCATCTCTTAGCTTTATGGGGCTTCCATGCCTCCCACCTCGATCCCCTCAGTCCAACCTCCAGCTTGTGTTACGAGAATGCAAATCTACTTACCAGTAGTTTATGCAAAATACGATAAGGAAGACAAACTTACTACAAAAAAAAAAGGTCAACTAAAAACAACTACTGTATTGTCTTAAAGATGTCTCTCATCTATTAAAGCATTTAATTGGAAGTTGCCCATCAAGAGGTTTGTGATAAGCGGGCGTTCTGGCCTGCTCTGTCCGCAGCGGGACTTCAATTGTTGCAGGGTGCTTGCAACCTTCTGAAAAACTACTCAGAGCTGCCAATGATGTTGGCAGTGACTACGGGTGCCTCTTCACACTTCTGGTTAGGACTCACCCACCCTCCATAAAACAGAAAGTACTAGTTCCCATACATATTTAGGAAGGAGCTGTTGGCATAGAAGAGACCCACAGACTCCTCCGTGTCAAAGAGTGACCGCACCAATAAGATGCTTATATATGATCTCTTGAGGTTTCCTGGTATGTTGGGCCTACAGCACCCATGTCCTGTTCCCTCCACCCAGCTCCAGAGTCACCTGAGTGCTGGGTGGCTATTGGTGTCACCTTTCACTTGTCCTGGTGGCATCTATAGCACCAGCGCATTGCAAGGTAGGAAAGCAGAACTCCTCTCTGTCCCGAGTCACATGGCATGGGGAGGGGCCGGGTTACTACCAGCCTGTAAGCATGGATCCCACACCCTTCCCCTTTTGGAAAAAGAGCTCAGCCAGGAACCTCAACCAGGCTGACTGTCAGGGCCCCCAGGTGTGGGCTGGGGGCAGGTCTTGGACTAGCGTGGGTGTCCAGTGAGGCTGCACACCTGCTCACACTTGGTGCACTGGCTGGGCACAGCAGGTGCCTTGCTGGGGAGATGGCTTTGCTTCCTGGTTCCACCCTGCACAATCTCCTCTTTCAGCTGTTCTTCAGCATCCTTGTCACCTCACCTCTCAGGCATTCCTGGTAGAATCCTTGTTCAGTCCTCTCCTGTCACAGTCCTGGCCTCCGCAGAAACCAGTGTCCCCGTCCTCCTTAAGCTCTCAATATCTGCCTATGTCCCCACTCACATTCTGACCCTGGCTGTCTGAGGCCTCTGCAAACCCTTCCCTTGGGGGCAGCCTGCAAATACCCAGGAGTCCCCCATTCCCAGCACCAGCTCCCAGCTTTCCATGGAGGAGTCTCAACATCATCATGCGCCTAGCCCTTACTGTGCCCAGTCCCAACAGAGAGCAGGCCTTCTCTCCAGACCTCAATTCTATCCTCCAGCTCTTCTAAACAGTCTCACACCAGCTGCAAGCCAAAGATCTGCTGTTGCACTGCTTTACCCTTGCCCAACCCTCCAATGCTATATGCTAAGAAACAGCCTTACCGAGGCTGGGCTCCCTCAGCAGCAGGCAAGGAGTTGTCAGTGGTACTCCCCCTCCACCACACACCAGTTCTCAGCAGTTGCGATAGCACTGTCGTAACCCCCCTCCTTCACCTGAGCCTGCCCACCCTGACTGCACGTCAGCTTTCCTGGCTCAGGTTACTTCTCAAGGCCAGCAGGGCTGGGACGTTTTCCCAGAAAGCCTCCTAAACTCTCTCTGCCCCGTCTTTTCTCCAGTCACACAAGCACACCAGCCCTCTCTGCCCATCTGCCGCTCTGGGACCCACAGGTGTGCTTCTGAGTTAGATTCAGCACAGCCACTAACTCTAGCATGGCTCTGGCTAGCTGAGCTTCCAGCTGCCTTTCCTACTTCCCATGGCAGGGCAATGTCCTGCGCAAGGCCTGTCCTCCTTGGCTGTCGCTGGAGGGATTTCTGGCAGCTCTGAGGCAGGTTGGGATCCAGAGTCTCCTGCTCCCACTCTAGTAGCATCACCCAGCCTGTGAGTCTCTTCCCTGATGACATAAACTCCTTGAACCTGTCCTCCAAAGCCTCATCTTCTGTAATCGTCATCCTTTTCCAAGCTGTCATGTGTCTGTCATTTTCCTGACAATGGGCAGACACTGCAGGTTTGGGGGGAGGGCAACACCTCCACCCTGTTCTGAGGAGGTGCATGGTGCAGGCTCCTGGCCAGTCCCACCAGTGTTCTGGCCTCTTCCTGTGGCTCTGGAGCCCCTCTTCCTATGCAGACCCCTCTTCCTGTCCCTCCTCCAGCCTGGACTTCCATTCACTCCACAGGCAGCTCTGGCCCTCTGCCGGCTATGCAGACAGTGAACCAGTCTTTCCCCAACGTCCCTCTTCTAGGACTCCAGTTCCTCCAAAGCCCATCCCATAGGCCTGGCACTAGAGCCTGCTCCTCCCCAGCAGGCTGCATTCCCACCCTGCCTTGGGCTTGAAATTTAGAGCCAACTATTAGCAGGATGCAAAGACTTTCTCTGCTTTGCATCCTTCTCTGGTGAAGGAGCCAGGCAGGAAGGCCTAGAGGCTCAACCTCTCCCACAAAGACATGAACACTCTTCTTCTTCCCACCCCCTTCATAAAATATAAGGATAGTGCAACATCCTTAAGTATATGCCTAGATATCATTGCCTTCATGAAGCCCTCGGGGAATACCCCCTGTTAAACCCGGGTCCCCTGCCTTCCCCTGTGCTCTTCCAAGTCATACTGCTCTCTGGTTGAGTCTCTCTCTCCCTCACAGTACTGAGAACTTCAGGGACTGGATGATGCTTCTGCAAAAGTCTACTGTCTATAGCCTAGTGCTTTGACAAGCACAAATGGATGCTCAATAAATGTTTATAGGTGAATGAATGTTTGCGGAGAAGTTAGGGAGGGAGGGAGACCACACACCAAAGTGGCTACTCACCTGTTGTTCACAGTGGTCTTCCACGGGCTATACCAGCCTCGTCTTTGGGCTTCCATGGCTCTGAATAGAGAGGAGCACAGACCAAGGGAGGACAGAGGGGAGAAAATTGATGAGTGCTTTGTGAGTGACCCTGAAATCAGACAGTCCAAAAGGAGGGCTTTGCTCAGGACAGGACTGTGGTTTCTGCTGCCCAAGTTCTGAAGGCCGAGACTCCAGCCTGGGGGACATCAGAGACTACCCAGCAGTGACAAAAACTGGGGCCATGTCCCTCCTAGGCAATTCTGAACTGGTTGCATGAATAGAAATCCTTTCCTTTCTGGACTCAATTTCTCATGCACAGGGGTCAGTTCAGGTGACCTTCAGGCTCATTCCATTGTTGACATCCTAGGTAGCATGGAAAGCCTGGATTCTATTAGTTGTCCTTTCCACTGAAGCAGCCTGTGACCCAAATTGGACTGAACAAAATGTCCCCCAGTGGCTGCAAATGAATGGGCAGGCATTCTGGGGGGGAGGGAGTGGGGATTAGACACAAGGTGAGAAGCAGGGAGGGCATCTAATTCTGTAATCACCCCCGCCTTTAGCTTCCTTAAATCATCAGTTACTTGGGTCCAGTTGAGCCCAAGGAAATTCTAGAATTTCAAGAGAGATGGGAAATGACCCAGACAGGCTTGGAGAGGCCAGCCAGACACCTGTGAATGTAGTTGGTACTATACCGTTAAGAGGGAATGGCTGGCTCTGAGAGGCCCCACCATCCAGGGGCGGGAGAAAACCAGGTGTTGCGGTCAGCGTTTGTAAGATTTACTGTAAGACCTATGACTTATAGGATTATTTTATATTAGTCACCCAAAAGGTCAAATGCAAGAGTGTGGAAGATCTGTCCATGCACTAGAGACCCAAACAATCCAGATAAGGGCCTAGATCCCCCAGTAATGTCCTGCACGAGTCCAGCTGAAGATAGAGAGCCCATGACAATGGCCTCCATGAGTCCAGATGGAGGCCTGGAGCCCACAACCATGCTTTACGCAAGTATGTACCAAGGCTCTACACTGGGAAGGCTCAGAAATCAGTGGGGGAAGCTGGAAAGTCTGTTCCAGCAGGCTGAGGGAGCTGAACTGGATCCAGGAAGCAACACTGAAGGTAAGGACCAGAGCTCCTCCAAAGAGAACTGCAGCCATCCTCAGTGACAGCAAAGACCCGAGCTCTTCCACTGATGAGAACAGCTGAGTTCATATCAGGAAAGCCAGCATGACAAGCTTCTCTGGCATCAGCATGCCACCTCCTTCCAGCCCTTCTTTTATGTTGTTGGCAACTGTCCTTAGGTGGGCCTTCCATACCCAACACCTTGCTGACTCAGTTCAGCTATGTGTTCCAAAGTGACCCCTGGTGTAGTTAATCCACCACACCAGGAGAACAGGAGGCCCCCAAGAGAGAAAAGAAACAAAAGCAGAGGAGTCTTTGTTCTTTTTAGTGGTACTAACTTGAACCTGGCTGTGTGACTTTGGGCCGGGAACTTGGTCTCTCTGGTTTTCCACTGGGGTAGCAGTGTCACATGCCTGAGGACAGGATGGCTAGATGGCCTTCTTACTGTTCCTTCCAGTACTGAATCCCTCTAACTCTTCCACCCCTTCTTACTGCTGC